CTGAGGCCACTCCGTGCAGGACGGCACGGCGCGGCACTCACTGGCCAACGGGACGGGCTGATGACGTGTAGGCGGCTCGCCGTGACGTCAGCAGGCCACGACACCGCACCCACCCCCACCCGCAAGAAGCAACTCGCAGCGTAAAATTATCTCGCTTTGCAACGGTACCCCAGCACACACTTACTAATCCGTGAGGACCTATTCAGAACCGGGGCCTCGCTCAGCCCACCTGAGAAAGAGCCGCGTCTATTTTCATGGTTTTGATCACATTAAAAGGGCCGACCGGCACCTTTTGGATGAGTAACTCGAGAGCGTCTATTGCTGAACACCCACTTGCAGTTGTGTCCCACGATACAGCTGTTCTCATGGCTTTGATCGTGGTAAAGGTGCTGATCTGCCCTTTAGAATGATTTACTAGAGCCTGTGTGTGTGTGTGTGTGTGCAGGAGCGTGACCAGCCAAATCATTGGAGGAAACCCACGAGCATTTATGTCACTCAACGTCATTAAAAGCAAGGTAGTGATGTTTTAATCTCACCTGTTAAAGCGATAAGATCCTATAACTAACTATTTCTTATTATACATGTTATACGACGTGTTGACGCGCTATAGCAGGGAACGCACATGTATAATTAATAAACTAACGCCTGGCTGACAGGGAACCTTAATGGGACTCAGACCTCGATAAAGTCACATCTGTGGTTTTCCAACACTGATTCTTGCATCACCCTCTGATTGGTTGAATTTATTGAAATTCAAAATTTGGTTGGATTAAACTAACTTACTTTGATTCTTTAAGTTGGTAAAACAGTTGGCAGTTGATTAGCTCCAATGCATAATTCAAACCATAATTAATTATAACATTTAGAGGTGTAACAAGCCAAGAATAACAGGATTCACATCTTATTCTGAGATTTGTAATATAAGGATAAGGAACCATTCATATATTTGTATAAAATATAGCGGCCATATTTATTTAAATATATAAATATGGCTGCTCTAGGCCTCCGTATAGTTGTGGTCGCTTTAGTGAATTTCCTTTATTAGAGAAACCACTTTTTAAAAATGGCCATATAAATTTATTTTAGTAATTTGTGTGGACAGAATTTCCATAAAAAGGCTCTTAATGTGCCGGTGTTCTTTTGGCCCAGTCAATTCAAAGTTACGGAAACGAAGACGTCGGTCGGTAGCCAGAATTTTAAAGCCTCCGTCCTTCAGCTCAACACGCGAAATTATCAGCTTTCCATTCGGCCTCTGGTGGCGGACATACCCCTTCCTGGGTGGTCCCTTTCCCCCTGTCCCCTGCCCCGGGATCTCTGCCCTTCAGCAGACCAGGTTTTTCTTCCTTTGGCCCCCGGGGGGTGGGGGGGGGGGGCTACACTGACATCCCCAGCATATGTCAGTTGCTACTGTGACGGACTCGGAATAGAATGTTAACTGCCACTTGTATGTGCTTCTCACGAATAAACGTGTACGGAGGAGTGACAGGACCACCCTGTTCCAGAGGTCAAACCCGACGGGGACCGGACCACCCCGACTCTGACGCTCCTCTGGAGGGTCCGGAGACGTTTGCGCGTTTGTGGACTCTGCACCTTGTTTGCGGTTGAACCTGCAGCAACAACAAGCACAACATGGATCACCGAGCTCTTGCTTACGTACTTGCTGTTGACGGATTAAACTACGAATTCCGGGGTCAAACCTGTGAGAGCGACGGCGTTCGTTAAATCGTACCACTCTTCACTTCCATTTTTCACCCAAAAAGCCCCATCTGTTCGACCGTAGCTCGGGTCACAGTCCTGCTCGCTTCATCTTCGTCTACATGTCTCGACTGTCCGTCCGTCCGTCCGTTGAACGAGCAATCCCAAATGCCAGATGATGAGTGCATCAGTGACGGAGGTGGGACCATCACGGAGAGCCGGCACCACCCTACAGGGGTTCTTTAGACCACTCCATTAAAATAGAATAGGGCCCAAATATCTACTCTTTGAAAGACAACCCACGAGGCTCGCCTTTCAAAACAAGAGCGGGGTCCTCTCGGGGATTAGCTGGTGTTGCCCGGCAGAGGTGACCGTAGTGGTCTATTTATCCAACGACCGGTTTTAATTTGGTTTTAGTGGGGCGGTCAGCTGGGAGCCGCCGTCTGGCCCTGAGGCCCGACTAAATATCTACACACATGTGCTGCACACGACACAAAATGATGTTGCCCCAAACCGGTCGGGATCGGCTTTGACTCAAATGGTTTGGCTGAGCGTTGCCAGGCAGCAGGTTTTTTGCAATTTGAATGCGACCATCTTGGACCAAACACAGCTGTCAAGTCACATCTTGTTTTAACACAAAAAGGCTGATTAACAATACAATATACTGCATAATGCCGCTAAGACAAGCTAAGACTGAGCTAAGCTAACCAAAGCTAATTTATGTTTAGACATTCAAAGGTCTGACATTATTCCATCTTGTACTGAGATCCTACCAGAACATTTCTGTCCATGCCTCAAGTAATATTTTTAACCTTTAGCTCAGCATATGTAATAACGCAGCCGATGAAGTGTACTCCTCTTTTAGAATTTATATCTCACCTGTCAAAAGTCCTCTTCAGATGGCAGCAACGATGCAGTACAAACCGAAAACGGGCCGTGCCGTCATGGGACACCGTTTTTAGAAATGAGGAATACTCATGATATAAACTTTATGTAGTAATGACACGTCGCTGATATAAATGGCTCACCATCAGCATGTCACTCGATAGGCTCTGAATGGCGTCAGGTCGATGATGGAGTGAGGTCATCCGTGGCTCCTGCAGGAGTCAGATCCCCCGTCTGTGAATCCCATCATTGTGGTTTGAAACACTGATGACACAACCAACAGAAATGCCGGGAAGCGACACGTACGGATAAATACCAAACGTTCCAACGCCTGAACGTGACACACAGGAGAGAAGAGCAATGAAATACACAACGACACGTAATGTACATGGACCCTGTTCCACAAAACCAAGGGGAATATTGATCCACGACACGACAGGTGTGCTGGACGTGTAGAGGCGACTATTTGTGGAGGGTCCGGAGAGGTGCTTTCATGTGGTGCAAAGATGGAGGCTTCAGAAGGAATTCTTCCCAGGATGTGATGGCACACATGTGAGGGGGTTGAAGGGCAACACAGAGCGCCCCCCCCCCCACCCGCACCCCGTCCTCAGTCCTCCTTCAAGACGCGTTCAATCTAAATGCAGTCTGTTTCCAGCACGGTGTCTCATAGCACGTCAGCTAATGTTGCGCGACATCGTTCTCGATGCACTTGGAGACGTGTGATATTCTGACTGGCAGCTGACTGTAGTGTCAACGTGTGACGGACGGCGACTGGCGTCCAAGCAGCCATTGGCACCTTATCGCCACGGAAACGTTCAGTCACCAGATGCTCCCTTTGTCAGCGACCGTCATGCGATCTAGTGGGATTTTCCGCATAAGAGGGAAAGATGTGACAGCTGCACTTTGCGGTTAGAATGTGTCCGTTGTTCCGTCAGCACCTCCGTCTCTTTTATCGCTCGTATCTATAAAGTCTACAACTGACGTTGTGGGAAATGAGTCGATCATCGTCACAGATACTCGATAAAGGAGTGAAGAGATCATAATCCTGTGAAATCAGAGACAGGCGATGACGCAGACGCACTACCGAGCCACAGGGACCAAACGCTGCCACAAGGAAGACCTTTAAACGTGAGGTGACGACGCACATTGACCTTTGTGCACCTTTAATAGGCGCCAAATTACACCAGAGCAGAAACACCATCCATCCATCCATCGTCAAACCGCTTATCCTGCACACAGGGTCGCGGGGGGGCTGGAGTCCATCCCAGCCAACTTCGGGCGATAGACAGGGTACATCCTGGATTGGTCACCAGCCAATCGCAGGGCTACACAGAGACATACAACCATTCACACTCACACTCACACATCTACGGGCAATTTAGTGTCCCCAATCAACCTGATCCCCAGAGCATGTCTTTGGACTGTGGGAGGAAGCCGGAGAACCCGGAGAGAACCCACGCAGACACGGGGAGAACATGCAGACTCCACACAGAAAGGCCTCTGGGCGGAATCGAACCCAGGACCTTCTTGCTGTGAGGCGATTCCGCCCAGAAGGGTCCTCAGAAACACATCTTCAGTAAAACCTCTGAACCTTCTTGTCGGTAAAGCAACAGACCACATGGAACACCGTGGAAGCTCTGAAAGTTTGGCTCATTTAAACGTGTTTCTAATCCAAGTCACGGCCCCACACACAAAGCCAGCGAGTCGGCTTCATCGGTGGTCTCGGTTTTGGCAAAGTCTTGCCTTCCCACAAACTTGAAACATCCAGAGGAGCTTGAATCAGAAACAGAAAATGCAAGTAATGTTGAAAGGAGGAATAACCACATTCTGATGCAGAGGATTGAGGGGAAAAAGGCCGTTGCTCCTCTTGGCAATATTGTACATGTGGAATTTTTATTAAAATAACACATTGCTAATAAATTGCAATCCCTTTCGAGTAAACCAAATTGCTGAGAGAGAAAAACAAATGTACAACCATCTTGTTAGAAAAATGTAAATAAGGTTCTGTGTAAGAAAAGGTTTAGTGGCTGTAATTAACCCGTTTTGCACTTAACTAAAGAGTTTTTCAAAACAGTAATGTACAGCCTGTGCAAAAGCAAACAATGTGTGCAGATGTTTATGAGCCATCTCACACTTGTAGCTGCATCTGTATGCAGTCTGTACTTATGGAGCATGGAAAGTTCAATATTGTTCAAAAAAAATAATTCAATTTTCTCCTGCGGCCCACCTGTAATACCACCGTGACCCACTAGAGGGTCTCGCCCCACAGTCTGAGAAACATCACAGGTGGGGTAAAATGCAGATTCATTTGTGGAGCAGCTCCATCCAGGTTCTCGCTGTACATCTCAAACAGGCCTGTGGGTCAGAGACACTTCTGCCACCGGAAAGTCTCCATAAAAATAAATACAAAGAACAACTTATGATTTTAAATTAGACATTTAATATGTTAACAAAAACAAGAGCAACGGCGCACACAGACACACACACTAAAGTTTGTTAGGGTAACTCAGAGGGAAAGACATCAACAGTGAAAAGTTTGACAGTTAAAATAATAGCAGCAGAGGCAAAGAAAGGGAACACACAGCATGTGAGGAAAGCTCGAGATGGTCCAAGTACACATCACGTCTGTGATGATCGCTCTCTGGAGAGTATTTTGACAAGGAATGGATATCCAAAAGATTCCCTCTACACATAAAACTTGATACTTTGCGGCGGCTTTGCCCGTAGTCTTTCAGCACCGAGCTCACAGCAACACAAGCCATTATTAAAACAAGACTTTCAGACTAAAATAGGGGAAAATAAATCATTAAAACACACACACCCACACACTAACTCCGGTTTAATTATGATTAGATTCTGATGCAACCTTCTCATCAGCAAGCAGGACGATGTGAACGGTTTTACTGCTCAGCAACATTTGCATAAGCTGCTACAATTAAGCTGAATTTCACTTTGAAAATCACTTCAAAAGACAGAGACCCCTCCACCCAATCAGAAACCAGCTAAAAAGATTAGAGAACCAAAAGGTGGTCGTCTGGACAACAAGCAGTTGATCACATGTTTTGGGCCTGACAGCAGACTGTTGTGCTTCACGACGTAACCTGCTGCCGACGGCGATGCACCACCAACGTAAGCGTCTCCTTGCTGGCAGAAACGTGCTTTAACGCTTCATGTGTTAAAAAGGCCCCTGAAATGCTTTTAATGTTGTAGATGTTGAAACTAACATCCAAGTACCCCGCAGTGACCCGTCTTATTGCCGCTGTTGCTTGTTACCTTTGTGGACCTCCAGGTTTGGAAGAGTCGGTTTACCATCCCATACAAAACTAAGATTACAAGCAAATGGCTAGATACCCTCGAACATCCACACACAAAAATAAGTAAGGATGGTTTTGTCAAATGATGGATGTGGTGAAATACATCCAATGACACAAAAAACAACACATTAAGTGGTATTTTTCCATTTCATGGGACCTTGCGGGATGCATACTACTGCCCCCCTGGTGGAAGCACCCTGTAATCTGCTGGAGGTACCGCTGCGTGGTCACTCACACTTCTGTTACGGTGCACTGTCCATCAGGACTTCGCGAGCGGAGACTGACGGCAGCGCTGGAAGGCCCGCCCCCTGGAGGCATCCTGGCTGGCTGCCGCTCTCTTAACGGTCTTTGCCCGAGTCGTGGTATCGATGCCGCTCCCCCCCGCTCGCACTCCCTCTCCTCCTCGCTGTCACTGCTGCCGGAGGCACACTCGTACATCTGCAGCTCATCGTCTCCTTCCACCTCCTCACACCCTGGCTGGCTGATTAGGAGCTGGGAGAACGACTCTTCCACGCTTGACGGCGAGGGAGGAAGGGGTCTGGTGGGCTGGCGCCCCAGGAGGGTCGGCGGTCTGACAGGAGGAAGAGATGCCATAATCCCAAAGAACGAAGACTGTGGTTGTCCGCTGCCAGTGTCCGACCCGTCTGCTGAGCTGACGCGTTCCGTCGCAGCTGGGGTGACAACTGGCACAGAGAGAACGGGGACCGGTTCGGGGTCCAACCTCAGTCCCGCGACTCCCTTCTTGGGGATATCTACAACGTCCCGCTTGATCTTTCGCCTGCGGCCATGCTCATTTCGCCGATATTGCACCATGTTCTCCAGGTCGGCCACGTACAGAAACCCCGCAATCAGCATCTCCGTGCTTTTCCTGTCCTTAGCGAAGGCCTCCTCCAGCTCGCGGTTGGTCCTCTCGTCGTATTGCCACCAGCCGTTGCGCCCCTCATAGTACCACGCGTGGTCTCCGAGGGAATCGGAATCGCTCCCGCTCGCCCCGCTCCGGCTCGCCCCGGAAGCCGCCGCTTTCAGCTCTTCGGGCGACAGGAGGACCGGCCGCTCCAGGAAGTCCTCCGGGACCTCCTGTCGGCAGAGAGCGCAGCGCTTGCTCTGCCAGGAGGCACCTTTCACACACAGGAAACAGAAGACATGGAGGCACGGCAGGCGAACGGGGTGGATGCAGCTCTGGAGGCAGATGGAACACTCCGGGTTCATGGCGGTGGAACCGGAAGGTTCTGCAGAATCTCCTACTTCCTCCATCTGCTTGCTGGGAGCCGAGGCAGTCACGGAGCAGTCCACTTCTCCACAGCCTGCCATGCTGAAAAGACACGGCACAATAACAGAAAATATAAAAATAAAAAAACTGTAAATTTAAATTGAGCATGAATGGAGATCGGCTTCCAGATGCGGAGCATTGTTGATAGTTTGGGGAACGCCCTCAAACACAAGCAGCACGAAGCTAGTTTCTGCTAACACACACACAGTGGAATCTGAGAGTTTAAGGAATGTAAATATAAATGAAAAGGAGCGCGATATCCCCGAATGTACAGGACCTCCGAACGAGTTATAGCAAGGCCCGTCGAACAGGGCTAACGTTAATACGAAACTAGCTTAACTCGCCAACTCCTGCTAAGCTAGCTGTAGCCAAATCGTACAATAGTTAAAACGTTATGCTAGTTGCTTTAAATAAATAAATAATAAACGTACTATATTGCCCACAGGGACATTTGATTCGTGTCAGTTTTATCTGAAGAGATGTAACACAAAACACTGTAAAGTCAATTCAAAGCGAACAGTGACCTGCGGTTAGCTAAAGTTAACTGACAGCTGCTTTAGCCTACGTAGCATGTTAGCGGTCAGTGGGCTTCCAGGCTTTTTAACTTGAGTTTAAAACCACTCACCTGAGACCCTGGCCACAGACACCGGGATCGCCAGAAGCGCAGAGAGATTAATGTTTATAGCTGCATTAAAATCGTGTCGTGGGGTTATGTTACGCCAAAAAGATGACCGCGTTGTCGTCGGGACCCGCGGAGCTCAGTGCGCCTGGATGGACCTCACAGCAGCTCTAACGCGATCCACGTGTTCTGTAGATCTAGTGCAGCGCGAGGACAGCACGTGACCGTGCGCCAGGGTCCAGGGAGCGTCTATACGGATACAACGTAACAGTGCGAACAGTGACTGTGTGAAAGTGTACGAGCAATATTAGTCACCTCACATGCTGATGTGTCCTCATGTTTGTATCATCATCCTTTTGTTGGACAATACTCCCAAAAAATTATTCATACATGATATTTAGATTTATTATTTTTACAAAAATATGTATACATTTGTAAAAATGTACATTGTGTCAACATTTGTATTTATCATACAGGCGGTCAAACAGGTGTTGAATTAATGGGTACACAATTACTGCACACAATTACTGCATATAAATACATTGGATCCATCCATTACTTTTAATAACTTCCTCTTGATTGCATAGACAACTCTTTTAGATTGACATTAGTTTTTAATTTACAACAGTTTAAAATATAAACAGTTGAATATCTCTGCAATGTAAACCAATGGTCTATAATACGCTCTCTAACTTATTAAAACCTACTCTATTCTCTTTGTGATGGCACACCACCTGACACTCGGAAGGCCGCAGAACTTGTCGGCTATGTGTCTCCTGCCTCTTTCTGTGAGTCCGCGTGCTCCTTTTGCAAACACACAGACCCCCAACTGTCCATCCTCCAACCTCACAGTGCACTATGAGGAGAGAGAGATGACGAGGATGATGATGATGATGAGAAAGTACTCGCAGGTAATGAGAGAAAAAAAACCAGCTGTGCGTTCCACTACCCATACTACCATAGGTTTCAGTAAGGCAGAAACACCAGGATGTCCTACTGCATCCGGTCGCAGTACGCAAGACATCCTACTTCTCTGGCGACCCGCCCAACACTGCACAGGAGATATATGAGCAAGAGGGTTAGACTGTAAGTATGAGGGCATACAGCACGTAGCAGTACACACTTTGTAAGGAAAGCTGCATGAGCTAAGATGAAAAAAAGGAAAAAGGTGTTCGATTTGGAACGCATTCACTTTTTTAAAGAGAATCCCTCTCACCTTGGGGGATGCATTGCATGAGCTGCAAGTCCGGCTCAAATCCCCCCGGGCAGGTGAGATGGCACTGACCGTCGAGCAGGTAGACGTCTGCGTGTGTGTGACACCTCACACACACGCTCCTCACACACATCTCACAGCCCACAGAGCACTCTGAGACAAAGACACACAAACCGGACATCGTGGGCCTTAGTGCATAGACAAAGACACACGTTTTACACACAGCCTGGATGAGCAACGCGCTGGACGTGGCCTCACCTGTGCATTCTCTCAGCACTGTGTCGGCCGTCAGCCCATCTGGACAGCGGCTCTCGCATTTGCCCCGGAACAGGAAGTGACCCGGGTGACAGAGCGTGCAGAAATTTTCACTGAAACAGGAGGAGCAGTCGTCCTTGCACCCTGCGGGCCGGTGGGAATGAACTTTAATTAATGCAGCTCAACGTCAATGGAACAGCGGCGGGTCAGTCCTACACGCGCCCATCGGTACCTACTTGCGCAGGTGCTGATGTGTGGCGAGCGCATGCCATAGTGACCCCGGGGGCACGAGGACACGCAGGTGCCCCTCTGACGCATGCCGTCCAGCTCCAGGTGGAAGAAGAGGCGAGGTTTGCAGGACAGGCAGCCATTCGGGACGGAGCATGTGGCGCAGCCTGCCGGACAGTGTCTCCCCACGGAGGAACTTCCTGTGGATAACGGAGAGCCAGATATGAGGAACTGGACTCACTCGGCCCGACAACTCGCACAGTTTGGAGCTTTTTATTTTCCTCCTGTGCTGGTGCAAATGAAACAGAACGAATAATAATACTCTGGCTCTATTTGCCTTGTGAAACTTTACAAGCGGAGGGGTTTTATGAGACGGGGCCGGTACAAAGAGGCAAGCTTTCAGTCCCATAACGGGTATGAAGCAACAGAAAATCTACGACCACATGATGAAAATGGAAAGAACTCATTTATTGTCTCCACATGTCCACTCGAAAAGAGGGACAGATGAGACACATTTCACGAGAGCCGTGTCTGACAACTTGAGAGAGGTGGGAGTGACAAGTTACACTTACGTCTCGTGCCATCTTGACCTCCTGTGAGATGCATGAAGTGCAGAATCCAAATGAACGGTGGCATCCGCATTTTCCCCTCGCCTTCAGTACGGCATCGATCCAGTCAGCGAAGAAACCTTGCATCACATCCCAAAACCCCGCGATCTACGTCTCAAAGAGGTATCCGTAGAATTTCATTGGAACGGACCCACGTAGAGGCTCCTGTCTGGGCGGGAGAGCAGTCGAGAGCAGAGTCTTGGCTGAGTGTTTTCTTGAAGAAGGATCCCGTGTGCATTCCATGAGATCACTCACGCCGGCAGGACGCCGCGCAGAAAGCAAGCGGAGGAGCAAACCGTCAAATGAGTCGCAACGCAGATCCAATGCAAGTTTGGGTGATCTGCTAGGAGATCGTCTCTGCTGCCCCCCCCCCCACACACACATTCCCGACCTCCTCTCCCGTATCGACCCTCCTCCTGATCCATCCTCACATCAGGCAGTGGAATTATACTGCAACGTCTACACGATGACAGGTTTACCCTCAGGGGTGATGACAAAGGCTCACAATTCGGTGTCATTTAAAGCCCCCCGCAGCCCCCCGATTTTGATGATGTTTTTCTTATTGTTGCTTTACTTGCATGTTTGACCGTCACTCGGCAGAGTCTCAGTTGATCTGTGCTCACTTTGAAAATGTAAAGCGTGAAAAAAATAAATATATAAATACTTCAAAAAGTAAAATACTTTACAAAACAGTGAATTTTATGCATCTCAAAAACACAATTTAGACATGAACTATTCTTGAAGATATTACAAATCAACCACCGCTATAATACAAGTGATATTTTGAACATTAAAACATTTGATCAATTGGACTTTTCCACCACACAAACCCCCGTTTTAACCCAACCTTTATATCATGCACTCTCCCCTCGGCCTAGTGGCAAATCGGGTGAGTGTGTGTGTGACCATGACAACCAAATATCTCCTCATGTGGTTCTGTTTAACAATAGAGCATGTCTGTGGGCCCTTTTTTTGTCATCACAAGATCAACACCAGGCTTCTCACTAAGGCGGGATGAAGTCACAACGATGGGTTGGAATCAAAAGGAGAAAAACCTCAATAGCAGAAGTACGTCCATTATCGACCGTACACGCCTTCTCTATTTAGTTCAAGTCGAGGGCGTGCTTGGGCACTTTGTGTTTTTCAACGAAGACCGGGTTCAGGAAATGAATAGCACAAACACGGGTTGATGTGACTACCTCCCCAGGAGAAGATAAGCGCTGAGGGCTGGAGGTGTCAAGAGGATCTGTGATTCCCACAAAAACGCTGGGAGACGATAAAAGCTTCGGGCTGCAGGGGATTTGTTGTTTGGCTTCCCGGTGGGTCTATTATCGCATGTTTTGGGAACTCTGTGCTTCTTAAACCGATTTGAACTCTCCAGAGCACCCCTTCCCCACCACACCCCCCCCCTGACTCCCCCTCTCCCCCCCTCCTTCTTGGTATTGGTTTCCCGCTGCAGTTCGGGATTCTTTGCTTTAGCCCGTAATCCTTAACAGAGCCTTTCAAATCTCACAGGATCACGTCCCGGGTTTGATGCTTTTACTTATTTCTCAGCGCTTTGTCATAATGTGTTGTAAGAGTAAATGAATCTGATGGCTCCGCGGGGCGAAGACAGGAACGGAAACACTGACACACTTAAAACCCATGTGCTCCATATTAAGGAAGGCACAGCAAGCTATCATAATAACATCTCTGCCAGAATGCGCTGCCGTGCTTTTCTCTGAGAGAAGCAGAAGCTTTGTAGGGAGATTTGACACTGGAGTTGATTTATCACCTGAGAGACGGAGCTAATGGTTACACTGCCAGACGGAGGAGCTGGACGGGGCTACGCCGGCTGGCTTAAATTCTCAACAGGTGCTTAGACACAGAGACGCAGCAAACAGGCGAGGAGCCGCCACTTTTCCATTTTAATAGATGGAGAAAGCGGGTTTATAGGAGTTCAGGGCCAAAGAATAACACCTCAAAAGGAGCCTCTGGATGCGTGGCCAGCTGCCGAGGACCACCATCACGCACCACTTCATAGATATGCATCTCCAACAGCAGAGCGTGGACAGGTTTAAACTTAGGGATGGCATGCAAATGTTAAGAGGGAGCATGACAGAGCCGTGGGGAGACGAGGAGGACATGGTGCCAGCGGTTCAAGGTTCAGAAGGGTGGGGCTCCACAAACCCAGGAACACTTTCTCCACCTAACTCAGAACATAAACACGGCATGGATATTGAAAAAATAACCGCTGGAGGCCAAGGGAAATCTTAGGACACGACCGGGAAAAAGGCAAATGTTAAAAGTGGAGGACGGCGAGCAAAAGGAAGGAGAGGGCTCACAATTTAGACCACATGATCTAAAATTCTAATAGTTGTTGTTGCATTTTATGTCGGCCAAGGCTCTGAAAGAAAAATCTTGAACTTGTGCTGAAAGACTTGACTGTGCTGCAAATCAAAAACAGCTTTTAGGACACCACCTGCGATCAAGGTTCTGCTTGGCAGAAACCAAAACACATACCGTCTTCTTCAATAAAAACAGACAATATCTGGCTGTTTAGCAATATAACGTTGACCTTTTCCCTCACCTGAAAAGCTAAAAGACTCCCTGCGGTGGTGAGCAGGATAGCATCAGGCAGATAATCTATGTAGCGTGATGAAGTGAGGAATTTAGGGGGCAGGAGGCGGGGAAGCGGCGAGACGTGCAGCTTTAAACATCGACCTTGACGGATGATAAGAGAGCGGGAAGAGGCTAAAGAGATTTGGAAGTATTAACGTGTTTGAAGTGTCCACAACTTTAATACGCTCGGCCCATTTGATTTGCTTTTACAGTGTGTCTTTGTGGTATTTTTTAATCAGTACCTTGACCTAATGGCAGATAGGGTCTAAATAAGTCAGTATTGGGGGGGCGGGTACGCAAAACGAGCTGTGAGAGATTGTGCAGCCAAATGTAACAATACGTCTAATAAGTGTTTATGTCTATTTAATAAGTATTTATGCCTCTGACATTCTCAGATTGTTGTATTGACAACTTTATAGACCAGAGAAACAAAACCATTAATGCAGACTATGGTGATTTCTTGATACAATGTTATTGTTATATTTTAATGTATTAAATGAACAGGCTGTTATGTTTAGCATTTCAATTTCAGTGACTAAAAGGACTAAGTATGAGCCATTATGAAGATCCACAAGCATTTAATGAAGACCAAACAACTCTTGTTACAGTAAATCAGTTACACAAAGGATAGAATAAAAACACACAAAAATGTTGATTTCAGATAAAACCATATTAAATATCGTGAAAGATTTCTACTTTCATGATAATGTTTATTAAAATGACGAGGAAGTACTTCGCCGTCTTCAGCCGCGAGATTTTTTCAGCATTTTCTAGAATGAAAGAAAGAAACGTCTAAGTCTATCTCCTCCTCAAAATGTGCAAAGCATCAAGGAAATACAATAACTATGGGAAATAAACATGTATACAGCTAATTAATGTCAACATCAATTGTAGATATTATGATAATTATATTGTAATGTTTGGTTGAATTTGGTCAGCTCAAAAAAATCCAGAGTGTAAAATAATTATGCTTAGTCTTCAGACTCTACCTCGACTAAAGACTAACAAATTGCAGCACTTAAATTGTACTTGTAACGTCACTCATCTATAGCAAATTGTAAATTGGCTTATTTGAGGAAATTGCACTTTCTTGTTTCTTGTTCTCCTGAGTTTGTACCCTATGGTTGAATGCACTTATTGTACGTCGCTTTGGATAAAAGCGTCAGCTAAAAGACATGTAATGTAATGCTTTTAAATATGAATGAGAATAGGCTATGACAAAAAGGGATATAAAAATCACATTAACAATGGACTATCCCTGATAATTAGAAACTAAAGAAGAAAAGAGTATCTCAGAGAAGAAATTGATAAACACACTGGAAATTAAAAAGGAGAATTGTTCGAATGAATTATTATTTGTTTACTGCATTGTTGTTATAGACAGGCAGTTGTTGAAGTGAGTGCGGCCGAGCAGTTAGCAGCTTGATGCCTTGCTGAAGGGCAGGGGCCAGGTGGTGAACTGGCACCTCTCCAGCGAATAGTCCACACTGACTTGAGACTGCCACCCTCTGGTTGCAGAGAGAGTCTCAACGGTGTGAGCTGCTGCTGCCCCAAAACTAAACCAAACTAAAAGCATGCTAACTAGTGAAAGAAGAAACCGGGGTCGGGTGGGCTGCCACTGTCTACAGAACGATTAAACAGCTTAATAACTAAATACATTTAGCATTTTGCTGTTGTGTGGCCATATCAGACGAAATTGTAGAGAAGCTGAATGTTGAATGCCCTTTGAGATAAATGCTAATATTAGACGAGTGTAACGCTAGCTTAACTCACCTTGGAGACTGCTCTGAGATGATGAGCTCTGACAGTTGCCGATTTTTCTTCAAAAGCTTTGGACTTTGCCTCCTCTGCCAGGCTGTTCAAAAACAGCAGCGTAAGGAGTTCAATCTGAGAAAGTGTAAAGAAATGATCTTGTTTATTTATCGGTGAAAACGTCAGTTATGCTAGTTAGCGTTAGCCGCAAACAAAGCGGACGTAACGTTAACCGGGACTTAACAGCTACCCACTCACCATTGCCTCAGACGTTGGTCTCACATTTATGTTGCTCTTCGATTTCGTTTTGATTATATATTTCAATTTAGGTGCCTTCTTCAGCATTTTAGCAAATGTTCTGTGTGAAACCAAAGTTCACGCCAACAAAAAAAGGGTTTGTTTACGTCTTCAAATCTCCCGCTTCACTGACTTCCGGTAAAAAATTCTTCTTCGTGTAATCCAAATCGTTGTTTGTTGTCATTACCGCCACCTACTGTTTCAAAGTAACGGATTCAAAATGCCATGTTAACAACAAGGACGATATACTATTACGTAAAATAGTTATTCAATTAATTGCAAACATCAAAACACTCAAACGTGGAAAAGGCGCTAAACTGAAGGAGCATTTAAGTGTAACACCTCTTTTCACTTAATATCGTTGTGTCTTTGCTGCCACCTAGAGGCGTCTTTACGCAACTACGTCAGCAAAACACCGCCACACTCTACTGTCTATATCCGGGTCAGAGGTCAGTAATGGCGGCCACCATGGAGACAGCAGCCGGCATGAGCAATATGCTGCAATTCATGAAATTTATCGGACAGCTCAAAGTAAGATGTCAAACGCTTTTCTGTTCATCCGGTCCCTGGTCAGTAATGAACAGCAAATTATTGATACTCAATCTGTAGCTTGTGGATTGTTTTGCTGGATCTTCTGATGTCAAAACACTGAGGCATCTATTCACTGCCCACACACACATATTACGATATTCTCTATTAAACTTTAGGGTCAAAACCGGTGGAAACAGCTCTGGCTCTTGTTACCTATATGAGTAACATTACTTATCTTATCTGTGCCCTTTGGTCCAATGAACGATTAAAAATAATTGAGGAAATATTCACAATGTTGTTTTCCGAAGTGAGTGTATGCAACTTCCCCCATTTTCTGTGCCACAGATTAATATAAAGTCATTAATAAGTTTGTGGTGGTCGTTTCCTGCAGAGGGTCCCACGGACGGGATGGGTGTACAGGAACGTAAATAAACCAGAGAGTGTATCGGACCACATGTACCGCATGGCCATGATGTCTCTGACCATCACAGACCCCACAGTGGACAAGGACAGGTACTTCCTCTGCACATCCTGCACACGGACCGTCCTCTGATTCGAGTCTGTCGCTCAGAAAGCATGAATATTCATCACATGTTGCTCATGTAACGCAGTCCACATACCTTGCAAGAAATGGTTAGCAGAATACTTGAATAGTAACATCTATCACGCTCGTATTTTTTATTCTCACCGGCTTTAGATGCATAAAGCTGGCCCTGGTTCACGACATGGCAGAGTGCATTGTGGGAGACATCGCTCCATCGGACAACATCAGTAAAGCTGAGAAACACAGGCGGGAAGAGGCGAGTGAACCAAACAAATGGAGTGTGAAGTAAACAAAGATGGTTTGAATTTGCATTAAACGGAGCCGTCGCTGTTTGGCGTCTCTGATTTCTCCGCCTTCAGGAAGCGATGAGACATCTATCAGCTCTTCTGCCGGTGGGACTGAAAGAGGAGATTTACGGGCTGTGGGAGGTACGTCTGTCGTGTTTGTACTCACCTAATAAGTAACCGCGTGTCCCTTTTGTTTATTCGTGTAGCAGAATGTTTGTGTTGTTCTTTAGGAATATGAAAGTCAGAACAGTCCGGAGGCCCGGTTGGTGAAACAGTTCGACCTCCTGGAGATGATCCTGCAGGCCCACGAGTACGAGGAGCTGGAGGGAACGCCGGGAAGACTGCAGGAGTTCTTTGACTCCACCAATGGCGAGTCCTCCTCTCCTCCTTTTCACTCCGGTTTCTTCTTCACTGGATCTCCTCACCTGTGTCTCCCGTTTAGAGGCCCTGCGTCACCTTTTCAAAGTCTACGCACACACATATATATATATATATATGATGGGTTGTCTTCATTTGTCTTTTAATTGAAAGACCTTTTTTTCTGAATTGAATTTCCTCCCAGGCCGCTTCCAGCACCCGGACGTGCTCCGGTTCCTGAGCTCTCTGAACGAAGAGCGAGGACGTAGCGTGACTCCAACGGAAGAAACGGAGAAATCCAGAAGGCCTCAAATGCCACAAAATGAAGAGACGTAGAAGGCAGAAGGTGGATATTCTCCACGTGCACTTCACTCTTTTGCCCCTTTAGTTCTATCTGTACAGTCCTGGAGAGGACTGCGTGGTCGACAGGGAATAAACTGAACTGCAGGATAATAAAATGTAATGACATTACTGTAACACTGTATTAAAACTTGTGATGTAGACTCAAACTCAAATTTGTCTTTACATCAATTGGTTTTATTGTATATTTCCACCTAATTGACAAATACATGTTTTATTACATTTTGACATGTTATATATGTATATTATCTGCCAGATGTTACATCGTGTTTATCTTTTGAAAAATGTAACAAGGTACCAAAGCAGGATTTCTGATGCTGAAAATGAAGTGAATACGTTTTTAACAGGAAATCAGTGAGAAAACCGCAGTCAGACGAGGAAGTTTTATAGAACTTCACTTCAGCATTTTATTACATTAGCTTTTTTTTGACATGTTAATTCAAAGTTGTCAGTATTTATTGTAAAAATCACTGACAAACATTTGAATTTGTTTTAAATGGGTTTTAATGTTTATCAATTAGTCAGAAAATGTAAAATGGTGAGTAATTAGTTGCATGAATACAAATGAATGGATTTTGTCTTTAGTGAAACATTTGTAAAAGGTTCTTAAAGCTGACAGTTCAGTTTCATTTCAAACCAACACAATATACAAAAGTCCGATATATACTGTGGCCAATTCTCTGAATGCACAACCTCAGTTATTTGGTGACAGGTCGGAGGTCAGCGATCGAATGCCAAAACATGACTTATATGAAAAACATTTCTTCTCATTGTAACTTCTTAAGCCGGAGCAAAGAAAGAATAATCTTCTAACACATGAGACAAAAGCAGAAACACAAAACGGTTTATATACTGAAAACAGAAAGGTTTGTTAAAGAAAAACAGGATGCTTTTCACACAAAATGTCTTTTCATAACATCAAAAGTTAAAACGATGTCGTCTTTCAGCATTAAACAGATCATCTCCAAGAACAGAATCGGGTCTGTATGATCATGTGTGAGCTCATGTTAGTTCTGTATTATGTGTTAGTGACACAGCCAATAGGCTTCTACCTTATCTGGACCGTTAAAATGATCAAATGTTTTATACCTGTGTGTGAATCCAGCATGAATCTGAGCTACAGCAGTTCAACACAAGCATCAAAACACAATCATCCTGTTTACGGGGAAACAGAGCTGCTACTTTTCATTTCCAGCATTACGCCTAATCGTCTGAAGTGATTGATCAGGTTGTGCAGGACGTCCCATCGTCCTAGTCCCCGTGCACTCTGTGGTCCACTTCTTCCTAGAGACCACTTGGTCTCAGACGGGGTGAATGCACGGATTCGTGAAACATCCCATAATAAGTAGGATCCACTATTCAAACAGGGCCCGGCCCCGTTAGCGGCCCACAAAAGAATAAGTAAACAGTAGTATGACTGTCTGTATTCTATCAGGTCTGCCCAAGGAATACTTTATCATTACAAAGTCTCCGGTCTTAGTGTAAAATCTTTTATACAAAGTTTAGAAATACAACCAGTACTTCTGGGTTGGTCACAGCTAAGTGGCTTATATGTATTTTTATTTAATGTTTTAGTAAAAAGGTAGTTGAAAATGTAACAGTCTATTTTAATACAAATACTTTCTAATAACCTAAATAGTGTAAAGAGTTTTCTGTATGAAGTTGTGTACAGTTTGGATTTAGCAAATAAAGTAGAAATGAATCTCTTTTATTTTGAGCGAATCTGCTCATCATAAAGTGATCAACAGATCCAGTTCAGTTGTATGTATCTCAAAATAAATGTAGCCAGCTGTCACTTTTAAATATGTAGCTTGGCATCTTTGGTCCAAACAAGAAATGTCGTCACTCTTTCATCGATCTCAGCACTCGGAGTAGCAGAACAATTCCATCCGAGTGTGAGAAGACTTAATCGCAAACATGAGATTGTTCGCAAAAGCATCTCAGCACCTCAGTCGGAGCGTTGAGTGGAGATGTGACACGTGTTCCCGTTTTTCCGTCAGCGCGGCCTCTCGGAGCTGTCCGTCAAGTGGTTGGTGGGCGTGTCCTGGGCGCTGGCGTGAGCGGCGGAGGAGAGGACCTCCTCGAAGCTGCCTCCCGCCTCGCCGCCGCCGACCTTCGTCTAAGAAAAAGGAAAAGCGTCGACAGGAAAGACTGTGTGCTATTAGAGGATACGGGGAGCGTTATACGTATTTATAATATGCTGTTAGTGGCAGAGGTTTGCAGCCATGTAGCATCTTGCGTGTCACACACGGGACGGGGGTCGACAGCAGAGACGCCCTCGGGATCAGCGTGCATGTAAATAACCACATAAGCTAATTACAGAGCTCAGGCCTCTCTGCTCGCCCACGTTTCATAACCTTCAGAGGCGGCGACGTGACCTGCTCTCCTCCTGCCGGCCATCACGCCGAAGCTCAGATTACACGCTGTATCAATCAGTCTGTGGGAAGCGCGAGCCAACGGCCGCGCTGCGGTAACAGGGATTTTCCTTGTTTATTTAACGCTAGCTATGGAAACGTGGACGAGAAGCTTTTAAAAACACACATGTTGTGCTTTTCTCTCCCACACTCACGTTTACCTTGATGGTGGAAACTGTGGTCTCCACTTTTTCCTCAAAGGACTTGAAGCTGGGAGAGTTTCTGTGACGAAAAGAAAGACATTCGACTTTATTACTGTGTGTTATTATTAGAAACAACCCCAAACCATTAACGTGCGCGGCTGATCTCGGTGTATTGCCTCCACTCGATGTGCGTTCCTGCCGGGAGGTCGCCGACGCGCTCAGAGTGAGAACGTGAGAACCGCTCCGATAATTCTGTTTCTTATCACTAAATAAATGTTAACCGAGGGAAAAGCGCTCGCTTCTGCGGAACACAAATACCGCCTCAGGGCGGCGTTTCACATCCACGAATGTCCAAAATGTCACATGACGCGTGATCATAATCAGTTGTAACCACGAGTGTCATGAGTTGTTGAGTTACGGCCCAAACGGGTTTTGAGCGGTCAAAGGGAGCAAATTCTGTAAGGACGTTCCGCTCACGGCTTCCCGGGATGTGTCACGCTCACGGGAACGAAGACGGACAGCCGGTCACGGTGACCTTCGACCCCTGAGTCGAAGTGGACGTTCGTGGCGAACTTGAAGAACATTTCCGGAGAGAACGAAACTTAATCAGGCCGGACGACACACAAACAGAACTCCTGACGCGCGCTGGGGCAGAAGGTTGTACGAAGAACACAAAGGTCGGGGGAAATATGACACACACACACACACACACACACACACACGTGGTTACCTCATGGTGGGCATGCTCATAGAGTGTCTGATAGAGTAGCTGTCCCCAGAGAGCGTGGTGAAAGAGGACATAATGATTAGCACAGGTCACACACACACACACACACACACACACACACACAAAGGAGGCGTTGTTTTTATACGTTGCTTTTGACATTGTGGCCGATTAGAGGATGAAACAGAGAGGAAAGGTTAATCCGATCAATATTCTGCATAACAGATCTGACATCAACACAGACGAAGGTACATTACAGCTACGCGCTGCGAGTCAATAACCATTTAAAGCTGCTGCTCTCAGATCAGCCTCGGCCATAAAACCTAAAACGACTTGAGCCTCAGAGTGGCAGCCGGGCGCGATCGTGACAGGAGGGACGCAGCGGGGGGGAGGGGGGGGGTTCTTACCCGATAGAGTTGGACCTTGGGAAGCATGGAGGAAGATGGAGAACACACATCTATTAACAGGTGCTCTGACACCCGACTCACACCTGCGTTATCTCACCTGTTCACGACAAACGTCCCGAATAACGTTGTAAACACACAAAAACACGGCAACGCTATCCACACGCACACTTAAAGGAAACCCGGAGTGGAACGCATTGGATCACACAGACACACAGCAGATGTAAGACAGAGAAACACAAAATCCTGGATCCTTTGAGAATTTTCAGGCAAAAAACGTTAAAATGACTCGCAAGAACACAAATAAATAATCAATAAAAACACAAACATGCTTATGGTGTGTGAAGAAGGACATACCTCCGGGGGAACAGAAACTCTAGACCAACCACGCTGGAGGGACCAAAGACAAAACAGTGTTTCCTCTCTGTACGTCACACACAGTGAGCTGCAGCGTCCACACAGGAGACAATAACACATCTGTTGCCACTGGCAACGCCTCACTGGGGACCCGTTCAGGTGTTCATTCTTTACGGTTTATGTAAAACCAACGTTTCTTCACAGTATGTGCGAAGACACGCGGGACGATGCAGACTCGTGCCGCGTTGACGAGGAGGACAGACTGCGCCTCCCACAGAAAGCCGCTTAAAGTGGCTTTACGTAATCGCAACCCCCCCCGCTGAGCGGGACAGAGCAAAGAGTCAAAACTCTCTCTGGGAGACGGCGCCGGGGTGGACGGACGGGCCGTGGCTCACGACGCTGTCCACGCGGTCTGCGCGGTGAGGACAACGTGCTCTGTGACTAGTGGACGGATGACGTCGTCGTACCTCATGTCTCCGAACTTCCTGGTGAGGGCGCTGCCCAGGGTGCTGAAGGCAGCCGATGTTTTCTGTCCCGCTGTGGACAGCGTCTCCGAGGTCTTCTTGTAGCTGAGACAACAACAACAACAAAAAGACGCATTCAAAATATGGGATTATTCTTCCCTGCAGACATAGAAGCAAGGTGCAAATATGACAAGGGACAAACAAGTAGACAATCATGTAACAACAAGCATCAGTCTGTCTGCACTTACTCTTCCATTTGTTACCTTATAGGATTATGCAGTTTGTCAACATCTGTCCTATTTAATAAACACATTATTCACTGTCCGTCTCACATCGAAAAATGATTGGTTAACAGCTTCTAACCGGTTTCATCAGGTTTATTCATTCGTATCAGCTGGGCGAATGTGCTTTCCTGTGGTTTTAAAGCTTTGTTACGGGGAGGCAGCTCACACTCCAGTTCCTCGCTGGTTCATTATAGATGAGGCCGCCCGCTGCGCGCGTGTGTAAAGTGATCTTCAGGTCGAGGTGTGTAACTGGAGGAGGCGTCTGGAGAAGATCCCCTCGCTCCTCTCTGGGTGAGAGCTCCCAGTTCTAATGAGGAAATTAATCTCTGCACACTTTTCCGGCATTTTCCACATTCGGGAAGAACATTACAGATGTTTTCCCCTGGCAGTAACACGGGTAAAACTCGTGTGTCATGAGGTCAGCGATGGCCTCTGGCGTTGTGTAGCGTGTGTAGTTAATCAGGCTAACGGTGTCTGTTGCAGTGGACGCCACAGAGACACTTGTCGCACAGGCTTATGTCGTTATAATTGGGTTTCTGATATCTCAGTTTGCAGCGTGCTCTTATCGGCTGTCGGAAAACAGAGCGAACCTGCTGCGTGCGCGTGCGTCCTGTGACGATGAATGTACGCACACTTCCCTTTAACCCAATCGAGCCTGCAAAAGTCGACTTTTAAAAAAGGGCGACTTACGCCGTGGAGGTCTGCACGTCGTGCCATCCTCGGCTCAGGTTGTTCCGGAGGTCGTTGAGCGACGTGGCGCCCAGCTTCTGTCTGAGGTCGGCGTGCTGCTTCTCTTTGGACGCCAGAACCTGCTTGAGCGTGCCGATCTCCTCCTCCAGCTGGACGGGAAAGGAAAGAGACAGAGCGGCCCTTAAAAAGGGGTCCTAGGATCGAGGCGGCTCGGTTCTCTGCGAGCGAGCGCGCACTTTAGTCAACTCCTGCAGAACCTCCTCTCGCTCCTCCTCCGTCAAGCTGGAGCTGAAGTGGAGCTCTGACGCCATGTCCTCGTCGGCGCTCTCTCAGGGGCTCAGAGTCCAGAAACCCTGAAGGAGAGGTTCACACACACACACACACACACACACACACACACACACACACACACACACACACACACACACACACACACACACACACACACACACTAGATGCTGTTTCTTGGGACAGATTGACTTTAAAAGTTGCAATACTGGATTCTAGTGGAACCAAAACATTGTGTACTATAATAAAGCGTTGTTGTTGTTTTTAAACACCAGAATGAATTTAAAGATTGAGAGAAATCTTGAGGTTGTCAGAGGGTTTTCACTCCTTTTGAGAATTATTTGTTTGTAGTCATTTCATGCTGTGCTTCTGGGAACAAGACGGGTCTCATGTACACAATTACTCACACTCTTTACAAGCTAATCCATGACTAAACTAAATCACACATTCCCAATGCGTTTATGAACGTGGCTTCGTGTTCATTGAGAGCAAGAAAGACGTCCGCTGACCCTCAAACGATCCGGCAGAAAAATACTGAACCGTGTCAGGTTCAGTCAGGGAAGAAAACCAGCTTTACTCTCCGCTAACAACAAGTTACAACCACAAAATGCTGCTAAATAATGTGTGAAGATCTACAGGGGCTCCGACACGATACCTTTCTATGGCAGGTTGCTATTTCTGCACACGGCACAATCAGACCCCCCCCACAGGTCAGAGGGACGCCTTTCAGGTGCGTTTGTGCAAAGACAATTAAGATCTGTCTCTTTTGTGTTTACATGCCAAAGACAAAGACCATGAAAATGCAATCAAATGTCAACCGTTCTTCAACTTGAACACAAAAAAAGAAATGGAGGCTAACAAGTCACAGATCCCCGACACAACGGCGTCTCCACCAACATGAGAGTCCTTAAATAAGGGTTTGTGCTAACATGTAGTATAGTTAGTCACTAAGGAAAGAAACTGGACGTTGCTCAAGAACGACGCTCCGTGTCACGTGACTCGCTGCAGGAACCGCCAGGAATGTGAGGAAGGCGAAAACGAGTCGATGATCCGGGTCGCGGCTCCGCGACATTGAAGCGATGGTGGAACGTGGTGATTATCCTGGGAATTAACCGCCTACTGCGCAGCGCTTCAAAACGCGCTCATGAGCAGAGCAGATCTTCACCTGCAGAGAATCGCGCTCTGCTTCATGTGTGTTTGTTTGCTCGCTTTTTATTTATTTATCGTCATGTGTTCCGTATTTGGTTTGATTTAGGCCCAACTGTCCGTTGCCAAAAGACTTAAATGTGTTCATTTTACTTCATTGAACGACATCCCCCCCAAATAGAACAAAATGCAGCTTTTGGGCCCCGGTGGGCCCCGGTGGGCCCCGGTGGGTATTTGCTCTGTTCTACCGGCTCTGGTCTCTCCGTCTTCACCTCTGCTGTCCAGCTGCATGTCCCAAGTGGTGGACATGAACCAGTTGTCCGAGTGGGACTTTGACGTCTCCCCCCACCGATCGTCCCCTGATGGTGGCGTTTTATTCCACTCGGTCCGGTTTTCCCCGTTCGGGGCCACCGGGGCCACGTCGTCGCCACACGAGCGCCGCTTAACCGATTCCCCGCCGGCGCCCTGAGACGGACCTGAGCAAAGCGACAGGCGATTAAACAAGAAGCGCTCGATTCATCTAAACCTGCAGGTCGTCTTTCAACGGTGTGTTTTACTTGATGGACTAAAGACAAAAGGGGGAGTTTTAAGAAGAGAAGCCTCAGCGTCTCAGTAATGAATGAATCGTTACCGAGAAGCTTCTTCTATCTATGTGGCACCAAACATACGATGTCATTTAACCGCTGCTTTTATACAGTTTGTTTCCGCTAGCTGGTGTATATTATACTAACCGTCTCATTCAGTCAATAAGAGCCACTTACATCTGTTAATGATCTGTTATGCAAGCCGATTGGTTTATGATCAGATGCATTACATAATGCATCCAGCCATGTGCTGTTAGAGGGACATCAAATAAGCTGCATTAAGGTTCACTGTACATTTGGACAGTTCTGACCCGAATACATCAGAAACTATTTGAGTCAAACAAAAATCTCTCTCGTCTTCCGTTTTGTTTTGAATATTCTTCAGCTCTCGGAATGTTTTTATGAGAATCTTTCACAATCTTGCTTCTTATAGACACAATCCTTAATTAGCAGTTTATTAAAGAAGAAACCAAGCACACACTCACTCTCCTGACTGCTAGCAGTTAAATCAACACTGAATCGTGACCTGTGATGTGACTTGTGTGCATCATCATCATCATCTTCATCCTCATTACCTGCCCTTTGACTGCATGGGTTTATCTTTATTCCGTTGGTTATCTGGGAGAGAAGAGTCTTACCCGTCTCTCCCTCGCGTTTGGTCGTGTTAACCCATTCCTCTCCGGGACCCATGCTGCCCCAGTCCACCACTGCTCCGCTCAGAACACCAGAGTACAACTCTGCAGCAGAGCAAGGCAGCAGGGCGAGAGGAGACAAGAACACTGGTTAGACACACACATGCACAAAGCAGGACAAAACACACACACACACACACACGTCAACCCTCTTGAGGGATTCGGTGTTCCTCCAGTGTCCATCCTGGTAACCTGAGAGCAGCTGATCCGAGCGTTTTGACCCTTTGTGGTCCGAGCTTATTGGGGCTGTTTAAACAGGATTTACCAGTTTCTTTCCACAGAGCAAATCTGTGCTTCTCCACAGATAACAATGGCATATTTTGTAATAATTAAGCAAGAACACGCTAAAAAAAGGTTATTGAGCAACCCGAGTTCCCTGTAGATGGAATCCCATTGCCCCACAGTGCTGCAGCGAGGAGGAACCAGCAATGATTTCCGTCTGGTTAAACTTCTGCTTTTCTTTCTATGTGAAACATAAACATGGAAGGTGGCACAGTATAAAGTTTAAATGATTTTCATTTTGGAAATACCATCGTACGCCCTGCTATGTTCTCACACAACTTATTTCATGATGATGTAGATTCACTCGGACAACACAGCACCCATCGAGTCACTGCGACAAAGTCAACGAAAAAATGCTCTAATATTTGTACATTTTTCCCCATTTTCTTTCCTCAGCTTCCATCCCCCTTTTCCTTCGGTCCGGGCTGAAATGCTTTTGGTCACAAGACTCCAATTTGTCCCGTTGGTCATGTGGCTGTGCGGAATCAGAGGCCCGGGGATGCTCGTACGGCCATTGGAGTCAAACCCGTAGCCAAGTTTCCTTAATAACCGAAACAACAACAGCACCAATGTGCATAAAACCTTTTTTTATGAGCTTAAACATGCTGTAAAACATCCATTGTTGCAAACTTCAGAGGCCATATTTCCATAATAAATTCCCATCAATTTACACTGACTTCACATTCATCAAGCTTGACTGAAAATGTGAAGTTATTTTCCTGCTTCAGTCTCTAACTGTACACGATGTGAGCCGCAGGCAATTAAACCCGGAATGCAAATGAGTGAAATGAACTCCCTGCAAAACAAACAGCACCTTCATCCCGGTGCACGTGTCAATGTTTCCAACATTCAAATTCCTGCGTGAGACATAACGACACGAGCCACCGCGAGCACAATGTAACCGGGTTTATGTGTTAAGAGAGGACAGCTGATGTGCTGAGAACAGGAGCACCTGCGGCCTTAAACCCGGTCTGGAGTCCCCGCGTTGTCTTTAACGAGCAGTAACACACACAACACAACACAACACAACACACAAATACAAACGCGCAACAGTGTCGCTTTCGTGAAGCGGCTTCGCGTCACAGAAGTGCGCGCGGCTTCATTTCTGGACCGACCGACCGACCGCGCGCGGCCCGAAGGCCCGACTGCCCCCCGCTCCTCTCTGCCCCCCCCCCCCGCTCCTCTCTCTGCCCCCCAGGTAGAAATAAGAAAGGAAAGCGGCGCAGACTCACCTTGATGTCCGGTCTCCATGAGCGACGGCCGCGTGAACTCCCCCCCGAATAAAAAAGGAAACCCGGCAGCACGCGCGTCTCCTTCAGGGGGTCACGCGCCGGGCCCGGTTTTGGGGCGGAGCTTGGAAACGCGAGCCAATGAGCTCGCGCGTTCCTAATTTGCATAATTTAGTAGATGGACAATTTAATCCGTGGTACGTGTGTCCGTCCGCGTCGGAGGAAATACAAATACACAACTACAAGCGAATACATGAAGTCAAGATCTTGTAATGTAGTACGCAGCCTATAGAACAACACTAGTAACTACTACTTGTGATAATAATATTAAAAGGGATTCACTAATACATAGTGGGAAAGAATGTCATATATTTATTTATTTTGCAATGGATTCGTTATATTATCGGTTCTATTCTTTGTCACTGTGACAAACGCACTGTTACGCTGCTCATGCCAAAGAATCAAGGTCGCGTTGCTTTGCCTCCTGCAGGGCACTTGTGACCCCTGCTGACATAAAGCTGAAGTCACAGCAGCGCTGCAAAAAAATAAAAAGGTGGATGCAACAGATAAACAGATAAGGAAGCTTATCAAACAGAAGACGTTGGCATTTGACCCAGTTTAGTTTATTCTTCATCAGAGCCTAAAAACAACAAAGTGAGTAATGAGGACAACGGCGGACATTTCTAACGGAGGCAGCAGGTGGAGAACAAGGTGCACGGTAATCAAAGACCTTCCTGTGAACGACAGTATGCAGCGACATCAGACCAAACACACAGTCACAGGCCTTCTGAGATGAAATGAACCCACGTTATTTTGTCCATTAACTACATGTACACATTAACTACAGGTGCACATTAACTACATGCACTCTTGGGATCACTTCCTTCATCGAGCGTTTCTGTCCTTTCAGCGTTGGAAAGAGTCGCTCGTTTTAATCTGCAGAGTCCAAAGAGTCCATCAGCCGAAATAAAGAGACCGTTCAACTTGTGCAAAAGTAAATCAGATGTGATATTGAGGATGTTATTGAGGACAAACCTGTGGTTAAAATGTCAGCGGTTTGGTTTAATCTTTGGCTAATTAAAACACATTCTTAATGGAAGGCCTGGTCGCACTGCCCACTGATAACTGGGTAACAGATCAATTCTATTGGACTCAAATATATTCATATATATATTTGAGTTTTCCTCAGTAGGTTATTATACATTAAGAGCCCAATATTGTGATTCATTGGACTTATTTTTAAAACACATAGTCTTTGGAGTCACGCAACAACAGATTGGCTCACCCGGTCATCTATGACGGCGGTGAAGGCACTATTGCATATTCATGTCAACGTCACTGGGACAAAAAAAGGCCGGAGGCATCAGCCAGCCGATGCGCTCCAGCAAAGGAAAACCATTGGCCGAAAGAACTGAGTTGACACAGCAGCGCTTCCTTCTTCGTGTTTCGCTCTCCAGTAATCCGCCGGAACCCAACAACGAAGCCACGACGGCATCTTAATGAGCACAATCGACCCCTTTGAACGTGAACGTTCTTTTCTGTTTGCCGTATATTTTGGGAAACTTGTAATTCCGAAGTTGTAATCATTTTTAAAAAAAAAGCAGCGCTTACGACACACAAGTCGAACCAGCGTCTGCGACGTCGAGGAGATTCCTTATTAGACGAGCAGCTGTTTGGGCAGCTGTGGGGGGGGGCGGAGGGACGGAACACAACGGATTCAAACCCACAGTCAGCAGCTACTGAAAAGCAGAGTGTGATATATACATATACATGTTGTGCGTCCTTCAGGAACATTCACTACACTTAGCAGCTGTTACGAGCTCCCAGATGCAGAATACGTGTCACCCCCCCCCCCCGCGTCTCCTTCGTGGTTTAAACCCGCGACGGAACGCTATCGCCGTGAACCCCCCCGCGGGGCGGAATGGTCCTTTTCCAACATTGGTTAAACATTTCTCTCATTCCACATCTGTGCCGATAAATTGTGCTTCTCCTCCACAAAAACGGAAAGAAAAAACAAATGTGCAAAACCTCTTGTGGCGTTAAAAGCGTCCCGCTGGCGTCGTCCAGCAGCAGCGGACGACAGCGGGGGGTTTGAGGGACGAAGTGAAGCGTGAAAACCTCCCGTTTCCTGGCAGCGCTCCGCCGCCGCGCTTCCTTCTTCTTGCGGGTTTGTGCCAGTCGAGTTCGCTGAAAGCCGCCGCGTCTCCGTCCCACAGAACCCCTAAAGTACACTTCCCCAAAAACCTTGAAAACCACGACCTCATTTCGTTAAAAACACCGCGTTTTGCTCTCGAGCAAACCACCACCCGGACGACGCAGTAATGAAAAGTTAAAGCGTGTTCATCTACACGGACCACTATCGTTCCTAAGCAGCTTTTACACCATCGGATGCAAATTCTTAGTCTTCAAAGCCTCAAAGTCTATTTCTTCATGCAGACTCGGCTACGACAGCATCACCGGCCAAACCCTCAGCGGCAACGTGAAAAACAATAACAACGAAATACAACAAAGGGGCGGAGCCCGCTGTCTGTTCCGCTTGTTTTGGCACAAATGGAGCAGCCGCTCGTTCGACGATGATCAAGGCGCTCGGCCCTAAATTCAGTTTCCATCTCGCGCTTTCGACAAATGACCGACAGAACTATTTGCAAAAAGTTTCCTCACTTCTCTCTGCCAATAATCGGTGAGCTCTCGCGGTCGTCTTCGAGCATGCGGCGCGGACAGTTTTGTTTCTATCGTCCACAGCATCCGTGCGATAAAGGTTCGTCCCATCAGGCTGAAGAGCTGTGAGCTCCATCCTTTAAAAACATCCCAACCGGCGTAAACAGATCAGGCTTCGTTCTGCTGAAACGCGGCAGCTGCTAAATGTGCACAACGCAAACCGCTGAAACGTCCTGGATCGCGTCCGAGACAAATGGCGGCCAGGGAGAGAGGACTCTTAAGCAAGTTTAATTTAAGGGGATTCAACGGCTTTCATCGTGTGAAGAGACCGGAGTTCCTCCAGCGTTCCTCCAGCGAGGTGATTATCCGGCAATCGCTTCCTATGCTTTTTTCTCTCCTTCCTGGGGTCAGATCCACCGTCCGGAGCCCTGTGTGCGCTGCTGCTTCTTCCTCCTCTTACACAGGTAGTAGACCGGGAAAACCACCAAACCTGCAGAGAGAGAGGGAGGAGGAGGTGGAGGAGGAGGAGGAGACGAGGATCAAAACAAAACGATTCATGTTCCTGACAACACAAACCTCATTGGTGTAAATCCTGAATTATCTCTCGGTGTCGGGCTCTGACGAGTCTTCTACGCGGGTTTGATTTGACTATCGCATTTTATGGCGCGCTGCCTTCCCGTTCAACGGAGCGTTTCAAATGATCCGAGCCAAAAAAGGAGGCCGGCGGTGCGACACTGATTCCGACATCGCTGGGAGTAAATGCCGCGCCGGCCCGCGGGCTGATTGTCCGTTAGCAGCGCAGACGAGAACGAGATTAACGCTGATCTCGTCTCCGCCGAGGCATCGAAAGTTCACAGAGTGTTGGATGACATCACAACGAACCACCACCTGCATGTGTGTGTGTGTGTGTGTGTGTGTGTGTGTGTGTGTGTGCAGTTGTGTTACCTATCACCAGCGCCAGAGCTCCGAGCACCACGACCAGCAGAATGACCACTGGAGCGATCAGCACCTTCGTGCCTGCAGAGAAGAACAGAGAGAACCAAAGTCCTCCTTCATCAATGAATGCTCCTTTCAGTTGGAATCCAAATGGATGTTTGTTGATGTTGGTTTTGTTACATTTTCTCTCTATGTTAATGTGTCGCTGCTTAAAGTTGCGTCGCTAAAAGGCCGAGGCCCGACAACAGCGTCCAGAACCCAGATGGTTCTCGCCGAGGGACAATTTAGCTCCTGGTCCAGCCGGCACCCTGCTGAGATAACCAGCTGTGGCTGTGATGGAGCGCAAAGCCAAGCGGATCGATCGGAGTTCCGCCTGCTGGTGCGTCCAAGCTTTCCTCGGCAAGCACAGGCCTTGATATGGTTAATATGCTGCGTTCGCTGCAATCAAGGTGGAGCTTCGTTACCGGCAGACGGGACGCGGACGGACGGCCGGCAGGCGAACAACGCGCCTTAACTGAAGGATTTCATCGGGTGCTAAACTTGTTCTATCGCCTTTGCTCTCTCTGGTCTACAATTATAATCCACAGCAGAGTGCAACACGTGGGCGCCGATTTCATGATTGGGCAACGCGGGGAAGCTCTTACGAAAGCAGATTACAGACAATACAGCAGGTTTCAGAGAGAGTGCGTAGAAACGGAAAGCTTAACACGAGTTCAGCTCCATGCAAATTTGACAACGGTGCCTGAATACAGACGACACTGCAGCGGCCCCACCGGAGAGCTTCAGAGAGTACGAGCACACACACACACACACACACACTTACCACAGACCGACCCTCTAATTAGCCGTCTCAGATGAGGCTTATCGGGGAGGTAGCGATACTTGCACCCGAACACGCTGAGGTTTGAGGTATGGTCTCCAAAAAACCTGACAACGAGAAGTTACTGAGATCGTCACATGAAAAGAGAGGAGGAGGAGGAGGAGGAGGAGGAGGAGGAGGAGGAGGAGGTCCGAGCGAAGAACGTAAAAAACCAGAAACAATAGATGCTTCTCACCGTAGGTGTCGGTAGCGTTCTCCACAGCGGTAACAGAAGTTAGTGTTACACTGCGTGCACGTCATGTGGTCACATCCCTCTGTGCGCTGGATGTGGATCTACGGATGTAGAGCGAGCAACACTATTACCATTATATTCATAAGGACTACATACGTTAAGTTCATTTCTTTGGTTGGGTTCTTCATTGTAGAAAATATCACAGTAAAATGCAACTCTCCGCCTCAGACGGGGAACATCTGCTTGAGCGTCCATAGAGCAGCGTTCCACTTAATGGATCTTTTCCTTTATGGATTCGTCTGCTGCAGCCTCACTACAAACCGGCCATTAAGCTGCACTCGGCGTCTCCTCCAGCCAAAGGGAGACGAGAGCTCATCCCGTTCGATACGTCGCCTGCCGGTTCATCCGTTTCCACGGCGCGCGCCTCCCCTCCTCTAAAACTCCCCATCCGTCGTCTCCTTCTGGCTCTTAGGCCTCCCATCGATTTATTCCTCCCCATCCCCTCCATCGGTCGCTCACCCTGCAGCGCGGGCACTTCTGGGCGTTCCTCTGGCCGTGCTCGATGACGCTGGCCCAGCCTCGCAGCAGCTTGTCTCCTTTCCGGTAGTCGCGGCACTTGACCCCGCTGTGCCACGGCGCGTGGCATTTGAAGCACCACACGAACTGGCAGGTGTCGCACTGGATCTAAAGCCGGGGGGGGGGGGACACAGAAAGCTGAGCGCGTGCTCGGGCTGCTCGTCTTCGTGTTTCGGCGGCGGCGGCGGCGCGGGGCTCACCTTGTACTTGTGCTCCGAGGGGTTGGGGTTGTTCCCCTTCAGGGAGGTGAAGCGGCTGCACTGGGGGCAGGGCTTGGTGCTCGAGTCCAGCTGACTCAGCTCCAAGAAGTACCGATATTTGGCCACGTCCTCGTCGGCTAGATGGGAAATCACCAGGCCCTCCTCCAGGTAGCCGCCGCACTCCGGGATCGGACAGCCGATGTACGACTTGGCCACTCGCACCTGGGACGCGTCACAACAATTATTCCCTTTTTAAAATGTCAAATGGATTGGAGCACATTAAAAAGCTTTAGCGAGAAGACAGAGAATATGAAATTGACGCTATAATGCGACAGCATCTGCTCCACAGTTTGTCTTTCAGTGACGTTCACAACCAAATCTGCAATAAATTCCCACCACGGACGGGAAATGGTTAATAATTGACCCCCGATCGGAGGGTAAAAGGTAGATGAATGGAGGGCAGAGTGGACTGAGGTGAAGTTAATGTGTATCAAAGCCCAAACAGACACACATGAGTCACTTCAGCAGTACTTTAGTGGAACGCAGGTCACGCGGTCTGAGAAGAAAACAAACACGATGACTTTAACATCCCAGAGCCACACGGGACACTTTTAGAATAGAATTTAACTTACTTAAAAGGTTTTAAAATGTTTTAAGGGCTCTAAACAAACAGAAAAATGTACCACAGAGATAGAAGAGCTTGCTTAGTGCGAACTGTTTGATAAAAAACTGTCATTAAGTTCACACCAATGCAAACGAAAGCAACACATGTGGGACCGTAGATACTTTCAGTATTATACCTCAGTTTCTCTTTCTCTTCTCTGGTCCCCCCCCCACACTCACCCGCCTCATATCTTCTTTCTGTGGTTTTCTCCACACATTTTACGTGACAAAAGTTGCACTGAAACTTGACAACACACATAAAGTACAGTACAAACAATAGATTAACCCCCCAAGGGTGTTACACCCAACACACACACACACACACACACACACACACACACACACACACACAGACTAAAAGCCTGTTACCAGATAATGAAATGTGAAATGTATCCTGAGAGAGCTGTGGAAGTGTTGTTGCCACAACACTTCCACAGCGATGACCGGTGCCGGACCGGTTGGACGGGTTGGTGAGCGCTGCCAGGCCGTCTGTCACATACCACACAGGCGCGTCAACGCTTGCGGTGCTTTAAAATGCCGAGCCGAAGCCGTAGGCCAACAACACAGAGTGCAAACATACACGGGTGGCAGCAGTAAAACTCGGCGCACACGGGGCCGACTGTGAGCTCAGGCACAGCTACAAAACAATGCAGTCAGCCCCGTCTTTTGGTTTGTGCACATTGTGGTGGATATCTGTACCCCGAGGTTTGATTCTGCAAGAAAAACGATTGCAATTGCAAAAGACAAAAAGAAACGAGGTGCACAGATCCGATTATAACATTTGTGTAATGCATTTTTTTGTTCAGTCAGTCCATCAACCGGAGTCCGCTGTAACGTGCAGAGTGCTCGAAAAAGCACTAAGTGAGCAGTCGAAATAATTAGCTGGAAAAAGCACGTACTTCAATGGCGGCTCGTGCTCGGGTTGCCGTGCAGGTTAAAAAAAAAAGAAGGCTTTGCGGTTCATTGACAAAAAAAGGAAAACCCACCCACAAAGGACAGTTTACACGACTCTTATCTCGCTTCAGTGTCGTTATCAGACAGCGTTTGTGTGATTATTCCTGCCTCGTTATCGCAGCGAGACAATTGCAGATTAAAAGGCTGTCTGTCTCACCGACGAACAGATCGAGGGAGATTACACGAAGGGTTTGCGAGGACCCGTGAGCGTAACTTGTCCCTCTCTCGTGCAAGTTAGTGACAGGAACAGCCGACGCGTTTAATTCGATCAACGGCATCCATCCTGAAAGCCTTTGGCGCCCTTAGAGGGGCAACGTGCCTTTTATTCGGCGAGTCCCCATTTCTGCAGCAGAAATCAAAGGAAGTTGATGAGTCCCTCGTGTGTTATTGAGTCGATTGGTTCCTACGTGGAAGAAATCGTCACCACAATCACACGCTGACGCAACAGAACGACACATTTTGTCCCCATTGTGAGTCATTTTAGCAGAGTAACGGTTACTTTGCAAAGGGAGCTGCTCTCTCCGGATCGACTTAGAAGACCTTTCATCACGTGGGGTCAGACGTCCAGCTTCATAACAGCTCCCAGAATGCCTTTCAAGTAGATAATATGCACCTGTGTGTGTTGTTGTTGCTGCTCAAGGGCACAACTGCTGAGTGAACCAGCAACGGCAGGTCGTGAGACATGCTCAGCACTGTGACACCCCCCCATCATCATCATCATCATCATCATCACCATCATCATCACCATACCGACCTGGGAGCTGACGTAGAGTTCCAGACACTCGTCGCACACGGCCTTCCTGCAGCAGGGCAAGGGTGCGATGGTTTTCTCCTCCAGGCACACCCGGCAGCCCTGCGTCGTCGCCTCGGCACCGGCCTGCTCCGCCTCGCCGAAAGGGGCCACCAGGTCGTCCAGCGTGTACGCGGTCGGTCGGGGGCTCGAGCCCGCGTCGCGTCCCGTCTCCGGCTCCGCGTCCGGTGCGTCCGACGCGACCGCGTCATCGCCCGTGACTCCGTCGTCCCTGCGGTGACTTTCGTTGGCGATGCAGTAAACGGTGCAGTAGACGTGCTCTTCGGTGCCAAACGGCTCCCTTGAAGTCTCCGCGTCGTCGTCGTCGTCGTCGTCACGCGCGTGACGTCGCTGGCTCGCCGCGGCCACGCGTTCGACCGCCTTCCCGTCCCGGGCGCTCACGCCGCCGGAGGTCGGCTCGCTTTCGGCACCCGCCCCGCCCGCCTCCCGCTCCGACTTGTCACGCTCGCCATGGCGGTTCGGAGCGTCGCCGTTGACGCGCTCGGCGGCGCGCTGCATCCGACCGTTGGCGTTCAGACGCGAGGAGGGCGACCGCGAAACGCCGAAATTCCGCCTCAGAATCTCCACGGCGCTCGCCCGCCTCCTCTCCGCTCTGCCGGTGCAGTTGTTGTTGTTGTTGCCCCGCGCATCCTTCCCCTCCGCGCCGCTCCTCTCCTCCCAGCGCCGCTCGCCGCCGTCGAGGGACACCGGGAAGTCGGTCCTGGCGACGCGGCGGCTCGAATCCCTGACCGGCGGCTCAACTTTGCCTCGCGCGGAGGAAGTTTCCGCGCGTCCCGTGAAACTCGGCACCCGGCAGGCGTCGGGCTTCGGCTCGTCATCCTCCATCCCCGATGTTCCTCGCCCCATTTAGCGAGCGGGTTCTGCCTCCCGGACGGTTCCTCTCGCCTCCTCCCCCCCGCCGCCGCCGCCTCCAGCCCGCAGCCTCCTGTTCCGAGAGACACCAAAACAAAACAAAGCGGCCAGCGCTTTGCTTCCGGGGAATGACGTCATCGCGAAGGTGAGCAGCGATAGGCCGGTTAGAGGCCACGTGGGAGCGCGCAGCTTGGCACCAGCGTCTTGTTAAAAGTGCTGGCAGAAGAGGTTCTCTAATAGTCATATATATATATATATATATATATATATATATATATATATATATATAATGATGTATTATGTGAGGTATTCACAAACTGGGGCGCCGGACTTTAACTTGGAGACATCATAAAAGCTTTGTGTCTACTGTTTCTTCCAGCACTTACTGTAAGAGCAGCTTCATAAATTATTTCAACTACAGGTGCAGGTATGCTCAAATATTCAGAAGCAGTCGGGGCACAACTGGATACTGGTACAATACAATGAAATTACTCATCTTTTATCCTTTCGGGCCAACGCGTGGTGGCCAATTTATTTGGCAGGTTTCAAATACACAGGGAAAAGGGAAAATTTGACAGGACAAATCCCAAGTCAATGTCCACTCGCTTCCCCGGGTGCTTTCGATCTCGTCCACGTATGACGTTTGCACTGTCGTCATGGAGGTAGCTCAGCTGTCATCACTTGAGGCAACATGAATTAAGCCATGACATGTCTATGACCAGTGAACAAACTGCTGACAAAGGCTGTAGGACACTTGCTTCTCCTCCCAATGTCCGTTTAACCCGAGCTGACATTGTGATAGCGGAGCAAAACCCCAGGTGGAACAAATGTAATTAACAATGGCTCAGTTCCATTAAGTCTCCCAGGAAGCCAGTGACAGTTTTCACAAGTTGTCATAGAAAACATCAACGATTGTAGGCTACAGCAGCGGAATACGTTTCGTTTTTAAAGGGTTCTAAAGCTCTTACTTTTCATTATACCACACAATGAATCACCCACAACCAGAAGGCCTTTTATTCCGGCAGGGAAAGTGAAAGTAATTAATTAGTTCAGCGCCTTTGGCACAACTTTCCAATAAACCCAACTGGGGAGCCTATGAAATGGGATGTTCGCTGCGTTGCGATTCCTCATCAATGCCACAGTGTGGAAGCCACGAGGTAATTAGCGTGCTCGTCCCGTTGTCTTAGTGCACGTTGCGAACAATGATAAACAGGTGGTTTTCCAAATGTGAGTCGCCCGTTTAGCACATAAAGGCAGTAAAGCCATCAGAGGTTTTCCGTTTTCCGTTTTACATTTTAACAAGTCGCTCCGCAGGCTACAAATTAATATTTAAAGTACTGAGCCTAATGCGTTTACGCGAACAGGTTTTCAGTCTTAATTGCTTAAATGTTTCATGTATTAGTTTAACACCATTATGTTCAGGCATTTAAACACTGCATTTACCTTTGAGTGCCAGATGAAGAGAATACCCCCCACTCCTCTTACTGATTGCCGGTAGGTTTTTCTTGGCAGTGGAACAGTTGCGCTTCCTGGGAACCACTTTGTCTGTGTGGGAGTTTTCTCATCAAAGAGATACAGATGCAGTTTTTTGGGATCCGGCTTCAACAAGGTCGGCTTCGGTTCTGTTCTGTTAGAAAGAACTTAATCGCTGGCTAAACAACAAACTCAACCCGGAAGGCAAAACCTCAGACTGTAAAATACTTTGTTTTTCACACGCGTAATGTAGTAAATGTGAATAATTTGAGGCGACGGAAAGAGAAGAGAGGACACGACATAGACTTCACTGCTCCACTGTCTACTTTATTACGAACCGCTGAGTTTATGTACAGTCACGTGTGGGAAAACCATCATAAACAGAGTTAAACCAACTTGTGTAGTTTTGATCGGTGGTGAACATGAACAAATCAACCCAGAGCCACAGACAAAGTTTGCGTATCACTGTTTTCACGGAAAGATTCCTGCAATGAAGTACTGACATTGCGAATAGTTGTCTATTGTATCATGATAATGTGTTATTGCACTTTCTAAATGCTCTTCTAACATAATTGTCTCCACTGTGATGGTCCAATGTCGCTTAATTGAGCATCACAATGGAGGGAATTCACAATGGGAAATTTGTAGGAACAAAATACATTTTAACACACAATACCAGCAGAAGCTGAGCTGTGGAGTTCCTCAGGGTTCTGTATCGGGTCCTACACTTATCCGTGTTTTCCAGCTGCTTTTCACTTTGTAACTGTAATACTTTATTGAACTACCTTCGCATGCGCTAATGACAATGCTCAAAGACCCAGAAAATATGTTTCCTCAATCAGCGTTTTACCTTCGTGATGGGATCCCACATGAAGGCACACTGTTAGTGAATAAGTTGGTCACGGCAGCCTGTCAGGCTGTGCTGATGAAGAGGATGTAACTCAAATACCAAGATGTCACATGTGGAGACATCGGTCAAGATTCTCGTTAATCAATACATGATACATTGTTTGTGTCTCCAGGCAACTATCGCTGTTATGTTCACTGTCATTTATATTTAGTTCTTAAGTATTTCCGATTATAGAAAAAAGCATTCAACTTAAGATTTTAAGGGCATAATTGAACTCTAAGAGTTATTTATCAAAATAGTTTTAATAAGGCTGAAGATGCAGCATCTCGATTTATGAAATGCTAAATTTACTTTGACGTTTTGTGAAAGTTTAGCCAAACCCTGGAGACATTTCTCTCCCCAATTATTCGTTAATCTATTCAGCACCAACTAACAGAAATAAATATAACTGCATACTCTTTCCACCACTGAATGCTTCCAATGGAGGCATTTGTAACTTTAACAAGAAAGTCAGGACAATAGCTTGACTGAATCTTTATTGACACCATCAAACAAAATTAGGGCTCTCAAGCTGCTAATGTTTAACTCTTTATGTACAGATGTGCATTCCTAGATCTACCGACAAGAAGCTCTATTGACCGTTCCAAAGGCTAAATGTGATCAAACTGCTGTCTTCACAAGTACTTCAAAATAAAATATATAACTGTTGTTATTGCTGTTCATTGATACTCTTTAATGATTCCCTCAATTTCCTCCACTTCTGTTTGTGTTGTGGCTTTGCAGGTTAAGTGTCGTTGGGTTCACCGTGAAACAGAAAAGTCACTCACACACACACACACACACACACACACACACACGCACACACACACTTATATATATCTGAAATCCCCTCCTATATCCACCAGATTTGCCAGGTTGATATTGGTTCCACAGTACCAGGAGATATTGCCTAGATCGACTCTGTTAAAGGCAAATAATATAATAAAATCACTCATTTCAAATTCTTTCACGACTCATCCAACTTTCTTTTTCAATAACGGCTTCGATAATGAATATGTGACCCTTTCATATTATTACATCCTGATTTGAATTTTGCAAAAAGACACTTCATCATTCGTCATTTCATTTATTAAAAACAATGTGTGGAGTTGGTTATTAAATTAATATTTTAAAGTTAATTATGTGCTGAAGTGAATGTGAATTTTCAGCCCTGACAGTATTGTTAATGAAAGAATTACAGACTATAGTGCAACTAATTCCCTTTCCTCCCAAACTGCTCCTCCTCTCTCATCTCAGAACACACTGTACAATAAGAAGGAATAAAACATAGTATCCCACTTGTCCACAACATCATACATTAGTAGTCAACTAGAAAAAACAGTAAACACGGCCACATGTGATTAAAAAACGTCTAGAAGGTCAAAGTTACATTTCATCCTTTTACAGAGTCTCCTTTACTCTGGAAACATTTCAGACTGTTATTTATAGAAAATCACAAAGTTCACATTTAGAGACTTTTTGAGAGTTGAGGCGCATTCAACAACAAACAGTTCCCAGTTTAAGTAGCTAGTTAGTCACACGCAGCATGAGATTAAATACGCAACAGTTTGGAAACACCTCATGCAAACACACAAAAGTTGTTTCTGTCCTCCGGAGGAACCGAGGAGCCTCTCAACGTAAACCACAGTTCTGTTATAAAACATGGACGGCTGAGGGGGGGGGGGATCAATGCAGTCAGCGGGTTCCACCGAGAAATGTTCCCCGCTTGATGGAGAAGGCCTCAGACTTTTGGTCCAGTGATTGCAACGCAGACGCAACGCGATCGGTTACGTTTCCACAAGGAATCTGTGTTTTTTTTTTCTGAGCGGAATAAAAGGAAAAACCTGCTGGTCGCCTCGAACGTAAATTGAGTGATTTCTTTTTGCTTCTATTTGCAACATCCTCTGCATTCTTCTTGCGAGTCTAGTGAGCCTGAGACGGAGTCTTTTTGGTCCCAGTCGCTACGGTGAAGAGAGGGAGCTGCTAAGACTCCCTCTGGGGTCACTTCCACTTCGGTCCTCGTCCGTCTGCAGGCGCTTTCACCGAGCTTTGCCAGTGTAAATTGCCAGGAATCGCAACGTATCAATAAAGAATCCAACTCAGATGCTTCTCTGTTCCCACACAACAAAGGTCGCCATTTTTAAGCTCTGGCGCCTTTTGTGTGGTGAGGAAAAAATGCAGACGATGAGATTGAGGACGATGTGACAGTGACTGTCATTTCTGTGAGAGGGGTCTTCCCTCCATGTGAGCGCCGTCCGTGGACGGTTCAGAGATGCCGCTCTTGATAAGGAAGGTTGGATTACTGATTCACAACTTTTTTTTTTATAATTCAGAAAAGGAGGAAAGCAAAGTGGCCTTCTGAAGGTGTGGAGTGTGACCAGGGGAACCTTGCAGGTAGGCTGAAGGTGGGTGAGAAACTGCTTGCCTGACCTCCGTCCCTCCTCTGGGGATGTTTTCTTTCTATCTACCTCCTCCGGTCCGTCTCGGATGGAAGACAAAGCACAAAGGCAGCAAGAGACCACAACTCTGGTCCTCTGTCCGTGTTACAAGGAGAGAAAAGACCTTTGTTTGTCTCCCTGTCTACATGTCTGTCAGGTGTTCTTCTGGCGTGTTGGAGTATTGTAAACATTGTTAAGATTCACAATAAAAATGTTTGTACATCTGTTTTCAGTGTGTGTGTTTGGGCATGCATGTGTGTTCACATACGCCTCTGCGTCTGAATGTGTTTCCTTTAACATTCATCGTTTCTCATGGAAACAGCAGAATCGGATCTGTGGCGTGCGCTCCAGCACGAGTCCAGTCCGTGACTTGAAGCGAGATCCCGTCTTTGCTGCAGCGAGAACCCAAATGCAAAAAGAAAAAAGTAAGCTCAGAAGAGAGAGAGATGTCTGACATTCCTGCATCGGTGGTCTTGCCAGGAGATGCTTGGTCCGTCTGTCTGTCAGGCACAAAGAGCGAGACGTTACAGACTGGAACCGGCTCTATTGTGCACACGGCTCGGAGAAGCCGGGCTGTGCGCTAACATTTCTCTGACGCGAGTCCTTCCTCGAATAATACAATAGATCCCTCAGACAAAAAAAAAGCCAACGACGCGGGAATCGTCTGCGCTGTCTGTCCCGCAGTTACCGCGGTGAACCACACGAGGCCAATGTTTCATCAGCAACAGACCAAACAGACCAGGGGAGCAACCAGACTACTGAAGGGGGCCGGGAGGATGGAGGATGGGGGGGTTGAACCGTAGAATATCTGAGGGTCTTCTGTATCATCTACTTGACTGTGTCGTGGTTGTTGTTCATTAAAAGGCAGTCGGAGTCGTAGAAGCTGGACGTTAAGCGGTGGTCGTTGGTAAGGCAGCTTTTACTTTGACCTGAATGAGGAGAGGAGAGCGTTACACAAAATAGTGACTGCATCTCTTCTATTGTTTCAGCATAGATTTGAAAGTACATGTTTATGGGAACCTCATGAAAGGGCAACTCTTGGAGAGGTAAGTGAGGACAGAGGGGATTAAGAGTTACAGTGTTACCTTTGATTCACTCAACAGCATTAATGTTCAATGAGGACATCAGAAGCGCCTTTTTTTAAGTACCATAAGAGATTATACATTAAAAGACAGCTTAAGAACACCCACATGGCTGCGCTGACTTTGATCATTTTTCCACAAACAAAAACAGGAAGAGCAAAATACAATCTACATTACCACAAAGCGCTCACGCCTACGGCAGCACACGGCAGCACGTTAAGGAGGAGTTTATGGTCACAACTTCTTATCTATTTAATGTTTGAGGTGTTGCAATGTGTTTGGGATTATGCTCGACTCTCGTTTCAATGCAACAGATGCATTTGGGGGTCGACAGTAGGTTGATCTTTTCTTTTCTCTGCAAAGAAGCTCGCATTCCTAAAACATTCTGGAGGCGGCAGAAGTCGTGGCGTTGTTTTTGTGCGCGTGTGCGCGTGGGCGGTCAGGTGGGTGAGATTTCTATTGGCTGACGACACAGCTGATTCTCTCTTTAAAACATGTTTTACTGATCCGTGTGGCCGGAGTCAATAAACAGTGAGGGGACAACGGCAGCATTTAGATGATGTTTGTGCAAGTGTGTGTCTGCATTAATGTACAATCACAAAATGTCCATCAGCACATTTGCTGTGTCTAGTTGTTTGTGTGTTTGCATAGCTTGTGTGTGTGTGTGTGTGAGTTTGCAGCCATTATCGTGGGGGTCGATGATTTATGATGTGTGTTATGACTTCCACAGGGGACATATAAAACTACCGAATGGCCCTTTATTGGCTTTCCTCTTTGTTTAGTCGACTGTTTCATCCATCACTCTGTGTTTACCCCCCTTCCACCCCTCCTCCCCCGTCTCTCTCTTCCTTTCTCCCCAATCTCACGTTCTCTCTCCATCTCTGTCCGTCTGCATCTGTCTCTAATTCGTTCTGGCTCTTTCTCTCTAATAAAAACCATTATTGATCAACTGTCTTCTGTACATCAGCGGTGCCCCATTGTTGTCCTGCTGTTTGCTGCGGGGGTGCGAGACCCTTTCTGTCGCGCTTGCACGGGATGAGGTGGGACGGCGAGATTGATGCACGGGGGTCTGAGCCTGGACTCGGACTCATTTTGCGTTATCCAATAAGAAACAGATACTAACGTGTCCCTCAACAGTGTTTTGGGTGGAAGAAGGTGTGGAGTGTAGTGAAGGAATGATAAGTGGCTTCCTGGTCACCATTTAGCCAGATGTATGTGATAAAACATAGAATAGAACTGTACTCACATGTACATGGGCTGCAGCTGAAGGTGGGAGGTCTTCTGAGGCCCCTGGTAGCCGTACGAGTCGAACCCTCCTATAAAATCAACTGGACAAAAACAAAACCACCGATTAGAGAAAGAGATTAAGAGCTTCTCCCACCGCAGATGAGTCATGGCTCGAGGCCTCTGACACCTTCTTCTCAACCCAACATCTTGTAGCAGCACCTCCTCCTCTATGGAGAGTTAATGAGGGCTGTGGGCAGGATGAGAAACTCACTCCTCGCCCGTATGCGAAGGGTAGAACGTAATTCTATTTTTAGGAGGAATGAAGTGATGTATTTATGCCTTGAGATTTCTCTTGACTCCTAAATTAAACAGGATGGCTCCGTGGTTTCCGGGGCTGAGGTGCTGAGGCAGAGAGCCGGGACTTTTGAAGAGAGGAAGCCGCCGTATATTTATTTTTCCTTTGATGCTGTAGAAGTCATGAAGGGGTCCTTCCTCGCCTTGATCAGCAGCATACTTTCGTATTTATGGAGTGAGGTGTCACACCACCGGCTGCAATGTGGCCTCGACGTGGAGATGAAAGTTGCTTTAAGGACACGGCAAGAATCCAAACACACTGAGGTGTAGATGGTATATTTTTTAACATCTTTAAATGTCATTACGATGAATATCGTAAGAATGTTGTGCTGTTTCATGTCACATGAATGCATCGGTGCTCATGGCAGAACAGAAAACATGAAGCTCCAGCCAACCAGTTAGCATAAAGCTATAGTTAGGGCTGGCTCAGGTCAGCCCGGACCAGCCCTTAGTTAAGCTGCTACAGGCTTAGAATGCCGGGGGACTTGTTAGGACACACCGAGCTCCTCTCTCACGCTCTCCTTCTACCATAATTCACATTTTATTAATGCACATGACTAATTCAGCTTCTTTCCGGGAGTTTTTTGTGCTTTCTCCCCTAGAAGGTCTCCGTAGATCGTAGTTCCTTCTGGACCTTGGTCCTGACACCTGCCGTGGCCCTGCTGACGCCTGCTGCTGCCATCATCATCATCATCATCATCATCATCATCATCATCATTATTTTAGATATTAATCATATTACTGTACTCGTAAACCAACATTACCCTCTCCTAAAGTCTCTGTGCTCTCCCTCCCCACAGGCTTCTGTGGATGGTGGTTCTATGTGATGGTGGTTCTATCTGATGGTGGTTCTATGTGATGGTGGTTCTATCTGATGGTGGTTATATGTGATGGTGGTTCTATGTGATGGTGGTTCTATGTGATGGTGGTTCTATCTGATGGTGGTTCTATGTGATGGTGGTTCTATCTGATGGTGGTTCTATCTGATGGTGGTTCTATCTGATGGTGGTTCTATCTGATGGTGGTTCTATGTGATGGTGGTTCTATGTGATGGTGGTGGTCCCTGCAGTGGTCCTGCTGTGCGTCTGGTTTACTACTCACAGTTACTTGAATCATTTCTGTCATATAGTCTCATGTATTATACATTGTTCATTCTGTCCTCATGACGTCATTGTAGTCGTCCACCAGGAGACGGATCCTCCTCTGACGTTCTCACTGAGGTTTCTTCCCTTTTTTCCCTCTTGTAAGGGTTTTTTCATTGTTTGGGGAGTTGTTCCTGTGCCGATGGAGGGTTTCGGGACAGAGGACGTCGTATGTGTACAGACTGTAAAGCCCTCTGAGGCTAATTTGTAATTTGCGATTTTGGGCTCCACAAAATGAAATGAATTGAATTGAATTGAACAAAGCTGCACTTTTAAGGTCAACGTATCGTCCTCATGTTCTTCTTTTTTTAGTCGGCTGCAATTCAAAATGACACAATTGAGAGTTTTCACGCCTCTCCCTTAATCCTCTCAATGCATTCATGTGAAATCGTGATCACACCACACGGCGGGCGATCGCCTTTGTCTCGGCACCGTGGTATCTCCCGATCATCCGCGCCGTCGTGGTTGTTCAGTCAGATGAGCGGCTCCCTCTTCCTGTGCGGATCCTCTCGTTTGCCGAAGGGCCCGGCGTGATCGCTAAGGGTCTCCTGCTGACGCGCGCCGCCGCCAAATAGTCCCAGCAGAGGTCCTCCAACGCTTGACCCTTTGACCCGAGGGGAAATTGAGCCTCTAACCTTGTCAGCGTGCTGCCCGTCAGGCTGCAGCAGTTCAATTTTTAAATCCAGATATGTTATTCATTCGGCCCCTTCGATGAGCAGGAAAAATTCTGCCCAGAAGCCCAAAAAATGCGGTTTGCCTTTTTTTTGGTCACATTATCTTTAATGATCGTGGTGCATTGTGTATTTTCCGGCTGTGGGTGTTAACTAGTTGCCCCCAAAGGCCCGTTTGCATGAGGATTGTAATCTTTGGGTTTGTGTGTGTCGTTTATGGGTGTGTCTGTGACAATAATCTGACACACTGAAGGGGCTCCTGCACGGACTAATCTCCTACGCACACATGCACGGAATAATTACCAGTAATTAGCTTTCTCTGCAAATCTTCATCGGTCCTCGGTGAGTATTAGCTTCTTCACCCGAGGCACGTTTCCCTACAAAGCTCCCTGATTATTGTTTAGTCTCCCAGAATGCATCACCGCCCCGGCGCCTTCCCACGGCCTCCACCTCGGCAACACACAACGATTACAAAGAATCCCAAAATTACTCCGGAGGAAATTCTCATCTCGTCGCGCGGAAACGACGGAGGCGACGTGGCGCTGTGACCGCGCACATATTCATTTCGGCTTAATCGTGGGCTGAGACCTCGATTTGAATCCCCGAATCCTTCCGATAACCTTCGTCCCTTGAGAAGAAGTGTAAAAAAAAAAAAATGATTTTGTGCGACAGTGTTAGCGGCAGTTTGTCTCTCCCTTTGTGTCTTCTGCAGTCCGGAAGCTGTAAGAAAAGCCTGTCGGTGTGAGCGTGTGTGATTGTGTTCCTCCAGCTCACAAAGTGGCCCAACAGATGGTTGCGGCGGAATATGTGAATATGTTCCTTTGCGACACTAAATAACAAGAGAGAATTTTAGTTTTCCTGTCATTGCTTATTCAAATTTGGTAAAAAAACAAAAACAAACAGAAGCCACAGTGAGCAACTCCGTTATACTTCCACCATCCGTGCTCCGAAGCGCTGCAGCTGATCCCGCCTGCATTCATCACCTGTCAATATTTACGTTGTGGCAAACAGCGGCTCGTCTCAGTGTGGAATGAGACATGCGCCATTCGCCCGCAGCTGCGTCTACTTTAACGGAATACCTGAACCGATGGGCTCAGATAAATGGGCTCATTAACGCGGATGCTCACGGGGGCGCACTGCATTAAGCATGTGACAATTGCGAAATTAACATGTTGATTTGCCTCATTTTCCTCATCGGATGCTGGGATTACACTTCAAAATTCAATTCACCATCTCAACGGTGGCCGATGCTGCATCGTACTGCAGGAGGTGCACACGTCCCAATCGACACGGCTGAGCGGGTTTAGTTTGATTCTGTTGCTCGGCGATGGCGGTGGGGATGGGGGCCGATGGGGGGGATGGGAATGCGTGGTGGCGACGTGCCGTGTGAATGAAAGACAACGTTCGTGGACTATGAAACTCCTCCACAGTCCCTTGACCTCCCTCCTTTTCCCCCGCGCGCCGCTTTCAACGGGCGAGTCTGGCTGCAGCAGCCGCAGGCCGCAGATTCCGTCCGAGTGTCCGCGAAGGCCCTTCGGTCCGAAGACGGCTTCACTCAAACGTGCAGCTCGGTAGTGAAGAGATTCACGCCGGGAAGGAAGGATGGAATCATGAAAACGATGCGATCGTAGCTTAGCAACCGAAAAAGTAAGCACAGCGAGTCTGCAAACGTAGTAAGAGAGATACTTGACATTTAAAGAGATGGATGGCCACTGGTGTTATTTGACCTGTTATATATATAAAACCGAAAACACAAGAGCGTAAGTGTAAGGAATGGATTAAACAGAGTCTGTACGCTACCGTCAGCTGCACACGGTAGCACGTCCTGCTAATTGGCTAATTAGCCTGCTTAACCCTGTGCTATTTCCAAGACCAAGGAGTAATTCATTCTACGCTATTTTCCCAAAAGCACATTGGATTTTATCTGTTTCCTCTGCTCGGATCACAAACTGATTATAAACTGAATATCGCTGTTAAACCTGCTTTCTTTTAGGCTTCTGCTGGAACACGTGCACGTGCATGTGTGTGTGTGTGGCCGTGCACTTACAGCTGTCCTCCTCCTCTGAGATGAGCTTCACCACGTAGCAGGCGTAGATAAACCCCATCAGCTGGAGAAAAGGAGAGTAGCGGGAAACGTTGTTATTTGACAGGTGGACAGACGGGTGGACAGACGGGTGGACAGACGGGTGGACAGACGGGTGGACGGATAACAGGCAACCGATGCACAATTAACAAATAGTTTGAACAGACAAGGAAAATAGGTGCTGGGTTAAGTGGAGCGGAACAGCTCTTTGGTGTGTAGCTTCAAAACACAGCGTTTTAATCAGGGGAACAACACACTCACACACACACTCACACACTCACACACTCACACTCACACACACACTCACACTCACACACACACACTCACACTCACTCACACACACACACACACACACACACACACACACACACACACACACACACTCACACTCACACACACATTCACACACTCGTCAATGATCACCTAAAACCCTGAAAACACAACTGCCACAGACAAAAGGTCTGTCGTGACGTCTCCATCGCGGCCCTGCGGGTAAGAGCTTGTGCGGCGTCGCCGTCACGATGTCAGAAGTCGATTCGCTCGCTCGCAGGCGGCGCCCTCGCTAACGGGGCTTTGTCGTGCCGCCGGTAACTAAACACAGAGGTGCGTCCCGCGTTGTTCCCTCCCTCTCTCTCTCTCTCTCTCTCTCGCCTCCGATTGAAGGCGCTCAATCGACGGCAGAACAACGGCAGCTGCAGCTTGAAGAATAAAGGCGCTGCAACGGTTGTTGTTGTTGTTGTTTTGTTGGTGTTTGTGCAGTGTTTAGAGGGTGATAACAGAGGAGCTTTTAGTGCTCTGATCCCCTCTCCCATTGGCTGTTTGTTTCCAAGGCAACCTGTGGGGGGAGGGGGGGGGGGGGGGCTGATGGGTGTGAAGATGCGGTACGGCGCGATCGATGTGAGGTCGGCCATTCGGTGACCTTTTTACCCCCCGACGCCAGAGGAGGGAAGAGGGACGCGAGATGGATGTCGATGTGTTTTCCTAAAGGCGTTAAACTAACACGTTACCTGTGTTATTGGAATATTGGGGCCTCGTTGTTCAAAACTCAAAAAACTCACACACACACACACACATGCACACGCACACACGGAGCCACGCCGATGCACGAGGAGCTGCAAATGTGAGCAACGACGTTTGAGATTCAGCGTGTACCTCAAGGTCTTGACCTCATTTAGTCTAAATAATGTTCATCTCCCAGAGCTCCTCTCTCCTCCCACCTTTTCTCCCACTCTCTCCCTCTCTTCCTACTTCCTGTTCCCTCTCTCTCTCCCTGAGCCACCTCCATTTCCTCCATTTCCTCCTCCTTCTTTCTCCCTTAAACCAACACCAAACAGCGGCGGGCCGCGATGCTGAGAGCGTCTGCATGGGGGGGGTCAACGGCGAGGAGAAATCCGGATAACGCAGGAGGTTTTGCGACGGTCAGAGGTGGCAAAGTCTCTCCGGCGGGCAGCGGTTTGGCGGGATGAAGATGACCTCACGTCCACCGTCGGCTCAAGCGAGTCACTGCCAGGATTCACTTAGAGGACACTTTAAATGTCACACAGTCAGAAAAACGTTTGAAAGACTTTCAGAGGTTTGTGGAGGTTGTTTTCCTCCGCCGCGCGCCGCGAGAGCCGAACCGCGGCCCGTCCTGCCGTCCGCTGCCTCATTGCCTCCGAAAATGACTTTTGGACGCAGTTGAGTCGGAGTGAAAAAGAGAGAGAGAGAGAGAGAGAGACGGCGCGCTGCGGAGAACATGTGATCAGCCGTGACCGAGCGCGTCGCCCCGCACATCAATATCCGGTTAATATTCTGGGTGCTCCAGCATTCCGTTTTGCCGTTGCTGCATGTAAACATAATATCCTGTCGACAAAAGGCCCGATTCCATCTTCGCCCGACGTGAAGGAACCCAAATAAGATCGGTGGGGCACCAATATTAGCCGGAGGTGCTGAAACGTGAGCAGTATCTTGTTTCTTGTTGCAGCTGTGGGTCTGGGTTGCTTATTTGGACTATTCTGCTGCTCTTAATATATAAATATTATATGTATATGTATATTATTTTTGAGTTGAGCTGAAAAGTTCTCCATGAAACAGATTGCGAGATGTTGTTGGATGAGGTATTAGGACGAAAAACAGCTGGCGACACCGTGAACTGACTTCAGGGGTAATTTCATGTATTTATTTTGTCGGCAGTAATATTTCACCCAGAGTGACTGAAGCAGTGAAGCTCGCGGCATTCAGATGAATCTGTTTTCTCAAAGTGCAACAACAAAGTAACTCGGAGGGAAATGAAAAGTTCACCAAAGATACTGAATAAGGGAATCGTTCCCAATCCGATGTCACGTCATAATACAATTCATCCCATTATCAACATGTCACTATTCATGAAGAGATTTAAAATCTAATTTGGGGTTATCCTGGAGGAATAAATAAACCCTTATTAGCAGCTTCCATCGTCACGCAGCCTTTTCTGGTTTTAAACCATTTTTGAGGATCTAATGAATTGATAACAACTGATAATGCTCACAGTCGGTTTGTGACAATCAAAAGAAAGGCATCTTATTTCTTGAGAATATTACATTTCTTATTGGGTCTTTTTTTTTAGCCTCTGTCCTTCACTTGTAATTGCACTGAATGAAAGTGGGTTTCTCACTCGACACCGGTTCCCTTTCTCTCCCTCCATCTCGTCTTTGGATCGAGGTTACCTAGTTACCGCGGCAACACCGAAGGGTGTTCGGTTTGACAAGTGGAAATGGAAATGGCACCACTTAAGCACGGAAAGGATCCCTGCCCCGACCGGCCTGACAAGCAACAAATTGTACAACTTCACCAATTCACCTCACGGAGGCTTGTAAGAAACTGCTCCGGCGAGGCCGGGACGCGGGGCGGCTTTATTCACGTCTTTAAAAATCATCAACCGCGTAGTCAGTTGAGCGACGGTGAGTCAGCGAAGCCCAGCGGCCGGCGTCTCGGGGCAGAACTGCGTAGCGGCGCTGAAGCGCCAAACGGAGTGTGGCGCGTTTCCCCTCCAGAACAAGCGTCTGCAACGATAACGACTCCAAAGTCCTGCACGGCGGATGGAAAATGCACTTCCACAAATCCCCTTTTAAACCGTCTTGATGATCATTGATAATGGCGCTTGACATCGAAGGTCGAACCATCACTTGGATCACGGAGGTGTGAATCAAACAGCTGTGGAGACATTTCGAAATCCAAATCCAAACCGCCAACGTGAAGACTGGGCACGGTCAGATAAACTACATTCTCTCCTACGACAATAAAGTCTCAACCGCTTCCCTGAGCGGAGAACCTGGTGACACCTGGACGTGTTCGGAGGAGCCGGCGGAGGAATTAGTCGAATGAACAGCCGTTGTTCCGCGTTCTGCTTTGAGTCCAGAACCACCAGAAGGAGGGAGGCCATGTTGCGTCTCGCCCAAAGCAACTGAAGTGAAAGTGCTGACACCACTGCACCACCCCTCCTCACCCTTCGCCCACCCCCCCCTACCGACCCCTCAACCTTCACACCGTTTATGAGGATTCTTAATCGGCGCCTTAATCTCATTTCTCTATTATGAAAATGTATTCATCTCCGATGAGAGAATCGGCGGCGTGTTTCCACAGCAGATAAACGGCGGCGGCGAGAAGGTGTCGCAGGCGTCGGGTGAAATGTGCTCTGTGCTGAAGACGCCCACTTTGGCTCTCTGTGAATTACATTTTGTGAGCCAGTGAAAGACGCACGAATAAACACCTGCGATAAATAATGATGTCCAATCACTTCGCTCTTAAATGTGTAAAAAACGAATGAATCACCAGCAAACTCCAGTATCAACACCATCCCCCTCCGCCCCTCATTTTAGCTCTTCTATTTACCGCCACTTCTTTAGAGCTTTTCTTGGATTGATTCAGGAAGTTCTTACGTGTCTTAATCTGAAAGAAAGCGAGGTTTAAAATATTCAGCAAATGTGGGATTAGTGCTGCAGAGCGCAGCCGACGCTTCGGCTGAGTGACTTTCGGTTTTCACGTATTGTTCTTTCTCTTTTTCTGTGAATAACAACAGCTATGAAAAGCAATCTGGTCCCAGTGCTGCTTCCAGTACAACGTGACGTCACTCCATGAAAATGAGAGTAAGACCAACACTTCATGAGCTAACCAGTCAATTTATTTCCTATTTGCAGAAAACCGGAAAAACCACAAACCGTTTCAGTCATTTGATTCAGTTAGTAATCATATTACAATGTTTCAGAATCAACTGAACGCAGTGTAAAGTATGTAGGTTGTGGTCATTGAAAAAACATCTGGACCATCGATCCCTGAAGAAAGGAAAGACGGAAAGTCACTGAATGTCTACAAACTCTTGGGTCAACTTTGGCTCCCTGTTTTCAACACCGAGCGGCCGAGTTCATCCTCAGCTTTGCTGAGTGATGTTTGCCTGCCGACACGCTGTGCAATGCATCATCGAACTGATCCGCGTCTCAGATCCGAGCCTCGTGTAACATTAAAGAAACCTCACATTCATCTGTTTGCAGTGAGGAGCTGCCTGCACCGCGTTGTCTTACCAGTCCTATTAGTTCGCTCTGGTTGAAGTCGTGCCAATCCCTGAAAGGACTCGCAGGCACGTACTCCGGACCACTGAGCCAGCAGGAACGCTCACCTCAGGGGGCTTTTTTCTTGTTGCAAACTGTAATTGAATTATCGTTCTGTGCAGTTAGCAGGTAGAAGGAAGCTGAAAGCGAAGCCGCGATCACAGAAGTGTGAGATCACCGCTGCGGCCTGGCAGTCACGCCGCTGCTTAGATTTCACCGAGGACCCTCGGATCTCCCCGGAGAAGCCCGCCGCTGGTCTCCAGCCCAGATCCTCAAACTGCGCACGAATCAGGAAGACACTTCCGGTGGGTTTTGCAGTTTGGAAGCTCATCAGCCGGTTAACTCCTCAAAAAGAACACAGCTGTTTTGCTCCGACAGTCGGGGAACAAACAAATCGGCGCGTTGCATCACAACAGCTGAAGAAATAAACAGATCAGCTGACGCGGTAATACCTGCGCTTTTACCTGAGTCAGTAAAAGCAGTCCGTCACGCCGCCAACCGGCCACCGGACAGCCGAAAGGCCTCAGTGGCTCCCACACTGTTAGAAAACTGCAATTAAAGACTAAAGGCCCGGTTCCACCGCCGCTCCCAACTGGCCTGTTGGGACGGGGGCCTATATGGGACGGGCCTTTACTGGGATGCCTAAAATAAAGGCACTGTGTATCTTAAAGATGAAGCGACGCGCCTCCGCTCCGCTCTCGCCTCCTGACCAACACGGACTAAGGCGTCTGATTTGGAATTGGCTCTTAATACGACCGTTTGTTACCTGATTCTTTCTATTCTTCTTGCAATCCAAAAGGGCCTTAATTAAACAAAAAGAAATCCAAAAGAAGGCAGATTCACCTGTCACCAACTCTCTCATTATCGGCAGGTAGCAGTTAACCAATCGGCTGCCAGTAAACATGCAAACACCCGGTCGGCTCAGAGCCCGGCTGCATTTACCCGCCCAGTGGGCTGGTTGAACGTACAGTACGCCGTTAAGGACCCGGACGCCGTTTCCACCAATTACAGTAAAGCAGCCGGCCGGCCGCTGAGTGTGCGCCCGTGGAGCATGACAGTGTTTCCACACACCAATTACCGCGAGACAGCGGCACGGCCGCGCGGCGGCTCGGCACTCAGCCACACTATAAGCACCACTATCGATTGACAGAGTGCATGAGGAGGGGGAGGGGGGGAGAGGGAGGGGGAGGGAGACGGCGGGTGAAGCTGTGACTATTCTGCTCTTTCAGGCCAATGGGAGCGCCGGTTTGTTTGGCGCTCGTAACGAGAGGCGACAGGCTTCCCTCACTCCCGCCCTTTTATTCCGCTCCGCGCCGTCTCCTCCGATCCTGCTAATTATGGCGGTTTGACAGCGCGAGAGGGAGGAAGGAATACGGCGGCGAACGTTCTCCCCGGAGCGGCTGATCCCGCCCGGGCTGCGTTAGGAGGGTGAGAACTTATTAACTTAATGGAGCCCGAATGCTTTTATTCAACCGCAGAATTGCACCAATCCCCCGAAGTTCCCTCGAGTCAACAGATAAATAAGTTGGCCCCACGCGGCCGTGATACACTTTAGAATGCATTAAACAAAATGTGCTGGTCGCTGTAACTTTACGGAAAACCAATTTAAAAATGGCAAAAGATCAAAGCGCGGCACACACACACACACACACACACACACACACCTCATTTAGAGCTAATAAGAGCCGCACAGCCGTGATGGTTAAGTGATTTTTCTTGAAACATTGAGAATATCAACATCAATGTGAAGATGAAATCTCTCGTAATATTTTCTTTCCTTTTCGCTCCGATCTCGACCTCAAGCCCCGCCCGCCCCTCGCCGCTTTCACCAGCGCTAACAAGCCAAGCGGACTGAACCCACGGCACCAAACGGCGGCCCGGAACCGAGGGCCCGCGGCCGGCTTCCTGCAGCAGGCGGATGTTTCCTCGGCGAGTCGTTGGACGACTGGAAGAGCGAAAATTGAGTTTGCACTTGCTGACGAGCTCGAGTCGTGAAAATGAAAACCAGCATTGTTTCCTGCCTGCAGATTGTGTTTTTACAGTAGTTTCATAGCTGTTTAAAGTCAGCTACGCAGTGCTGGAGTCACTATTTGTTGAGCCTTATTGAAGACAACAAACAATTAGTATCTTGATGTATTCTGGTAAAAAGTCCCGCCTGATGTCAGATGATTAAATAGAAATCTTTAAATGTACATTTTGGAAGGTTGATTATAAAACAAGACCCTTCAAACTCTTTGGATGCTGAAATTCACTACTACCCCGTGAGCACTTGACATGGACGAAGCCGCTGCCCCCCTGCTGTTAGCCCTCATGCTCCAGGTACAAACGCAGAGTAACAGAAACAAGGTCAATTAACTCTAATGTTACATTTTCAGCTGCTGCATATTTATAGTGGAGCGAGCCAGAGACACGCGACTACTTCACCTTGCAGTACTTGTTCAGCTGGAGTACTTACGGCCAGGAGTATCTGCAGCGAGGAGTGGGCCACCTCTATGAACTGGAAGTCCATCAGGCAGCCGGATATAGAAATGTAGCGGTGGTCCTCGGGCGCCCAGGAGGGAGGAGGGGTGACGGGCGTCACCCGGCACCCCGGCCCGTTCTCCATCCACCAGGAGCGATGCATGGACAGGTTGAACGTCAGCACCAGGTCGGAGTCCTGCGGGGGCGGAAGAGGAGGAAGAGTCGAGTCACGTTCGGGGGGAATGAGCGAGAGCAGAGCGGGCGGACCCGCGGCGAGGCAGCCGGGGCGCGTTCTAACCGCATTTAAATGCAAAGAGAACCGTTCGTCGAGCGGCGTCCTGGGAGATACGCGGCTGGGACGCAGGACGAGAGCGGGTAAAAATAGATCTGTAGTTCCAGTGATCTGGGATCGCTCAGCTTAGATGTGAATCGTGCACAGGCGAGGTTATGATAAGAGGGGGCTGACGGGGGGGTGGGGGAGGGAAAATGGAGTAGGTCCATCGGTGAAATGAGAAGCGATAGTTTAAGGGACTGTTTAAGGTGGAGCTTCTCCTTCAGGCAGCGTGTCGCCCGCAGCAGACGGCAGTGTGGCTCCAAACAGACACCGGAGGGAACGTGATGTCATTTTTATAAAGAGACCTACGGTGGAGAATGTCTCCTAAAGGCCTGCAATTATATTCCCATCAGCTCCAGGCAGGCTTCTCGCCACACGGAGACGTGGTCTTCTCTTTGTTCAGCTTTGTCCACCATCAGTCCGCCACTGGCAGCGACGACTTAACTACGACAACCAGAATCTGCTTACAGCAGCACACTCTGACCAAGAAGGTCTCCGGTTGTTTTTCGGTCCTGCTTCCCGGCAGCAGAGACCAGACGTAGACTGCAGTCTGCAGACCCCGTGCCTTCTGAAATGAATCAGCTATGGCGGCCGCGTCGGCTTAAATAATGAAAATATTAACGCACCCACTTAGAGACGTGGATCACCTCGCCGCACCGACACACACCGACGCAGAGACACGCGCAAACAAATACACGCACACGTGCTTTTTAGTGCTGCTCTGCTTTGCCATTAGTCTAATGAAAAGCCTTCGCGCTCTTTAAAAGCATCCTGAAAACAAAAACTGACTAATTCCATTTGCTAATTCCCTTTTCGCGGTGATACATGATGTTGTGTTTTTTTTACCGAGATGTAAAGACTAATTGTATTCCCTACTGTCATATGTCAAAACCAATTCATCGTGGTTCCCATTAAATGTGGCCTCAGTGGTTTTCATGCTGTTTTTCTGCGCTTCAGATCAACATGGCGAGCCGGCGCCTTGCAGCTAACAGCGCTAACGGCGCTAACGGCGCACACGGTGGCTTTGCAGCAGGTTGAGTGCTCCGCTGTATCTTTACATGGCAAACATTCATGTTGTGATGGTCAAACGGAGCTTCTTCTTTGTCTCTTTCCTCCCACCACATCTCTGCTTGACTCTCGTCCCTTCCTTCCACATCGCTCCCTTAATATCGAACCGTTCGCCTCACTTTTTATTCACACAATGGTGTCTCTTTTGTCTCGGCGCCTCCTCCCCTCCTTCCTTCCTTCGTTGGCCTCTCTCTGTTTCAGCGTAATGAGTAAATGCCTCATTAGCGCCGAGCTTGATTAATACCACCTCCCCTTGTTGTGCTCCTCTTTTAATGAGTAAAATCTCTCCAAATTTCTCTCCAGCCTCCTCGGTGACATCACTCTCCCCGCGTCTGTCGCTTAACGCGCCGGCCTTCTTTCAAATCTTTCTTCTTATATTTCATCCCGTCTTTTCTCTCTCGCTCCCTTTGTTCACTGCTCTCTCTCTCTCTCTCTGTTAAATGGGATGCGATAATTATTTGAGTACAGTCAGTATCGGTGCTTTTCTAATGAGCCTCTCGACGAGGAAAAAGCTAAATTGGACAAAATGTCACGAGGATGCTTTGCTTCGAATTCTGCGGTTTTCTCTCGCCGTGAAGGCAATGAAAGGGGACATAATGCAAATACATTTAGACTGTTGTTAAATTAGTTAATCACTTAATGAAAATTATAAGTAGCACTCACTGATAAATATTTATAACTATGACAGTGAGCATTGCATCAAGAGCTTGTGTAAATTATAAATATAACACAAAAAGCAGTAATGATAAAAAGCGGTAATCACTCTGTATGAATGCGTAGAGATTCTTAATCCTTATTTGATGTCAGCTTCCTCGCTAGGAGACGTTTGCTCCTGCAGTCAGGGAGCGTTTGTTTCATCGCGCCGCGTCAACGTGAAACAAAAGAGACGGTTTCACTCATTCAGCGCGTGAGGCGAGTTCACTGAGGTCACAGAGTCTCGCAACCAGACTGGGACTAATAATAAAAAAACAGCATTATCTCCTTTCTATTCATAAAGGGGACAGAAATGATATTCTATAGTACAGAACTAGTGCAGGATGCTTTTCTAATAATACAAATAAAAAGTTATAATCCTGCACAAATCTTCTTCTTGTTATTCAGCTGCGTGCTGGTGTTGATTTATTGATTCTATATGGTGTCATTAATTTAATAGTTATTAGTTAATAGTTAATTATTAGCATTTAGCCAGAATGATGACGCTGTAGCTCTAAAACAACCTTGAGATATTAATCTGTCTGGCAATGAATGACTTGTTTGGCTTGCAAACCTAAAACCGACGAGAACGTATATATAAGTGTGTGTGTGTGTGTGTGTGTGTGTGTGTGTGTGTGTGTGTGTGTGCGTGTGTGTGTTTGTTCCTTATGAAGAACCCGACTGTTCTCCATATATTTTCCTTCACATAATTCCCGCCCCCTTTGCCGATGTCTCAGCTCTCTCTCGCACACACACACACACACACACACACGCACACACACACGCACACACACACACACACACACACACACACGCACACACACACACACGCGCGGTCTATCATTTTCAGTGTGCTAGTTGAGGATCAAGCTCTCAGGTCTTTGTCTCTGACTGTGGGCGAGTGCTGCTTCAGTGAACCACATCTGTCTTTCCTCCGCCTCTTTTTCTGCCTTCGCCTTCTCTCCCTCTCTCTCTCCTTCCCTCTCTCTCTCTCCCTCTCTCCCTCCCTCTCTCTCTCCCTCTCCCTCTCTCTCTCTCCCTCCCTCTCTCTCCCCCACTCTGTTTCCTTTGTCTTCCACTCCCAGGAGGTGAAGGGACGGAGGGGAAGAGACCGGTGAAAACGGTATTTCCCTTGGCAGCCTCTTCATGCTACCTGGAGCTACATTTCAGCGGTTTAGTTTAACAATTCAAATAAAAAACTGGGTTGATCTGTCATGAATTGTGTCATTTTAACAAAATAAATAAAGCTCTAAAGCATAGCAGTACAAGAATAACAGCCACTCTGAAATTAATTACGACGTTCAGCAAAACTGAGTCCAATTCTGATCAAAGCTGCTGTGACGTCAATACAGATGAAGAAAAACGGATCTATTAATGTTGTTTTTCAAGATATGCAAATGTTCAGCTCACAGTTTACATCGTCTGGACAGGATATTACCAGATATGTCAACGCATTAGATGTAATAAAATAAATGACACCTTAAGTAGCAAAGTTCAAGGCAATTAAGGACTGAGAATCTCAGCCTGAGATCATTGTGTTTCCTTCCCTCCAGACGCAGTATTTCCCCCACGAGACCAACACACACCTCATGGAGCGTCCCTGATCCCTCACACACGATAAGCTCCAGGTGTCATGAGGGGAAGCGGACAGACGCCCAGTTTGACATTCGGACGGACAACAACTGTCAGGCAGCCGCTACGATCAGCAGCAGATCATCAGACTAAAGGGCAGAAAATCAGCTTTATCCTCCAAAGTCCATTCTTCACTCTCTCTAACTGCACCTCTATCTTCTCCCCCCCCCCCGCGGCTCTCCCCCTTTTCTCCTCTCTCCCCGTGTTATTTCACATCAATATCATCAGTCACGCTGCATCTCCCCATGTTGTTTGGCTGTGATTTCCCATGGGTGTCAGATGAGGCCCTATCCCATAATGCCCGAAGCACTTCTCTCCGATCACATTGGTTCAGGGTGTGAGGGAACTGTGTGTGTGTCTGTCTGCGTGTGTGTGTGTGTGCGTGTGTGTGTTTGCTGTGAGTGAGGTGGGTAGATATAAAGTCTGTTCCGGGTCCCAACCCTGACCTTTGACCCCCACCCCGCCCCCCAAGGCTATTACCGTCTCTAAGCAAATGCCTCAACAGAACCAACGTGACCCGTCCGGTCTCCCATCTCGCTGGGGCCGATGACGGCGGCGCCGACCAGGTGGCGTCCATGATTGGATCAGGGAGCGGCGTTGCCCATGCGCGCGCTCGATGGGTTAATTGTTTTTTTGGAGAAACCCGGCAGCGATGGCGTGCGCGGTAAGTCAGATACGCGCGGCGGAGGAGGAGGGAGCGACAGCGACTGCGCGGCGCGGGGAAAAAGGTGTCGTCGCTCGCGGCGAAGGAAGACGTTTGCGTGATTCAAACCGCCCCTTATTGTTTAAATTAGGACGCGTTACTCAGAGGAAGCCCATTGAACCGGCTCTTCCGGGCATCCCAAATGCGGGCTGTTTGGCAGCGTTCTCTTTAGCCGACACTAAAACAAACGCCGCACAAGCCGGCTAAATCCAACACAATCAAAGCGGGGAAATCTACACCAGACATCCAAACCTCGGAACAAATTTAAAAGTGACAGGCGAGTCAATCAAATGCGATATTTACTGCGGCACACAGCCAATCTGTGTTTAATCAGCTGCTCGTATTTCAACGAGTGAAGAAAACAAACCCTAGCCGCTGCGCGTGGAAGTATAAAGTCACGGCACGAACAATCCGAACGGATCAGCTCAGCGCTCAGAGGGATCAAATCGGCTGGCAGGAGAGTCCCGCCAGAGTCGCGTTGATGGAAAAAGGCAATTTCATGCCGCGATTTCAACGAATGCGTCCATTGATCAAACACAGTCAGGGCTGATGCATCAACTCAGTGAATCAGGGAGGATGTTTTAAGTACAACGTCTGTGATTAAATGTGTGCGATTGGCTGATTCGTTGTATTAATCGGCGGTGGAGAATGAATACTCATTAAGTGACTATTAGCATTCAAACTGGCCTCAGCCATCTTTCTTTTCCTTTTTGTTTGTGTGCTTCCCTGGCAAGATGAATTAGGCGGTTTGCAGTTTGATTTACTGTCATATTCCTTCTACAATTCATCCTGCGGTAAAAAGCTCGGCCCGCACCGACAACATATTGATGTTGATACGAACCTGATATGAAAGAGGCGTTTTTTTCTCTCTCTCAGATGTCAGATAAGCGATCTTACCTCGAGGTTTGGTTGCTAACTTTGTGATTCCTCTTGGAAGGTGTCTCCATCCATAATGCGTCGTACCGGCTCCCATCCCACCGCACCTCTCCGTCTCCCTGACCACGTCTCCTCCGACCCAAATCTTTCAGTCTTTTATTTGAGTCACCGGGTGTTTCTTGCCAACTGCGCCTCTCTGTTTTTGAGGAGTTTGTGTCCCTCGTGTTTCCCTAATATACAAATGAGTGACGAGCTCCCCGACTACAGACGCACACTTTGACACACACACACGCAAAAGATGACTGACAGCTGAGCGCGCTGCATGTGTGTGTCTGTGAGTCTTCAGACGCCACGCCAGGATCCGCGTGTGCGTGTGCGTGTGCTGGTGACAGTTCCCTCTCCACGGCCTCCACTCCAAACCTGTCAGGGAAGCAACATCAGGCATCTTTCCAGAGACGAGTTCTGCTGCCGTGTTGGAGATGGTGGCGAAGGACGGCGCTGTGACAGACTGAGGCTGACACTCAAATTATTGTCGAGACGGGTCCTGTGCACCTTATCCTGCCTCTGGGGCTCCACAGGGGTCTTATGGGAGGAGAAGATACATATTAGATAGAAAGTTCTATCACGCGAGCGTCTCTGATGATGCAGTTTATCATCCTGTTGTTTTTCTCTTCTTGTCGATTAACACCAAAGAAATATGGAATTCCGAGAGCCGAGGCCTGATTTTTGTTGGATGACGGTTTTTTAGCGGGAGAGATGTCGGGCTCCCGTAGCGCCTCACACGCTGACACAAGGAACACGTCAGTCACCCGCCGATGCCGCTGTTTCATTTCGTTGGAAATGAGAAGCTCAGCCTGCCAGTTTTCACCCCCCCGACAGTCGGACCCAAACAGCGCTCAGGATGCACAATCTGGGAGTCCGTTCTATGAAAACCCCGAGTGGCGGCACCGGAAAATGACATCAGAGCCACATTACGAATCGGAGAGTCGCTGATGGCGCGGCTGATTCTCCGCCTCCTTCCTAATACACAGGAAGATGTCACAGCTCTGTAATGAAGAAAAATGGAGTCTGTCACAACCGGTTTTTGTCCCAGCGACCCCAAAGTAATGCTCCGAGTGCATCAAGTAATGCATTAAATTGGCACTTGGTACCGGCAAACACACATGAATCCCCCCCACAAGGAAATCTCTGCACTACGACCACGAATAGCCGAGCCTCCCTGACGGCGCCGCATTTCCCCGAGTCTGTGGAGAAGGAGTGCGATAGGAAAGGAGGGCGAGGGGAGCGGAGCGCTTCGCAGAGCGAACATGAAAAGGACTTTATTACAGGGAGGAGGGAGGATTTACATGCAGATGAAGAGGGCGGGAGGAGGGAGATTAGGACGCGCTCGGCGTGAGTCCCTCTCATCCAGATCTCTCCCTGAGATGCGTTGCGTTATGGGACTCCGATTCCCGAAGTCATGTGTCCCTTTGGGATCCAAATATAAACCCGGGCTCTTGTATTTCCACCGATCGCGCTCGTTGTTCTTTTCTTGAAATATTGCTCATCAAGTTCAGACTCGGAGGCGTAGCTGTTGCCTCACTTTTTAAATGAATCCTTTGCTCGTCGTACTTTTCCCGAGAGACTTTTATAAAACGGGTCAAGCAGCAGAATCCGGATCTGTTCTGGACGGAGTGGCAACGATCCCCGTTGTGCTTGTTTAACGTGGTCGGTGCCGGCATCGCACACGGCAGCTGGTGAAAGGGGGGGGTCGTGTGGAGAAACGGGGGGCGTTCGCGGCTTCACTTCTCCACCGCCAACTGGGTCGAGGTCGATGTGCCCTTGAGCGAGTGGCGCGCAAACCGCTGCGGTCGCGACAGCAAGCTGTTCGGCATCTGGTTGGCGTGCGCCTCGCTCCGATTGGTCCGCGGGTAATCGATGAAGGTGCCTCTAATTAACTGGGGCCTTCGCCCTCGTTACGAACCGGACGGGAATAATTTGGCCTCCTTTTTTTTCTCTCTTTTAAAAGTTCAATATTAGACTCGTATCATCTCACGAGAGACGTCGTGAATATTGAAATGCTGTTTTTCCAGATGTTTTCTAACCGTTTCTTCATGTTTCTTCCGACATGGAAGACAGGCTCGTGTTCCGGCTCCTTTTAACTGTTAAACGGGGGGAATGTGAGGCCATCGCTTTCCAGTCCGAAGCAACAGTAATCAAGAAGAACAAGCAGGAACCGGCGCCGGGCTGAAGACGTGGGATAAATGACGGGGTGTTGATTCGTGCAGATTCGTGGCGTGTTGCATAACTTTCCAATAGAACGAGTAACTTGGAGCTAATTGTGGTGGGAAAACATTTTTCCGACGGCAAACCGTGGAGCGTAATCAGCTTCAATCAGCTGGTTTCCTCTCTCCATGGAAGCGCTGATTGGACCTAATTAATTGCGCCACATAATGTGCGTATTCGTACTGGACTGATTTCGCTGGCGAAAGGCTCAACTCTCACAGAGCCGGACGGGAATCACGGCGACTCGTGTCTCATTTCTCGCCTGTGTGCGTGTGTGTGTGTGTGTGTTAACGTTCATGTCCACTCGCTCTGCACAAACGCACACTTGCATCTTCAGCTTACTTATCGTACCTCTAACGAACGGACGTGCTTTCATCACACGACGGTCACCGAATGGCGCCGTTTACACGGCGACGCGGGAATACGGCGCGTGACCTCACGCTGTAGCGAGACGCGTGAAGGGGGGGCGAGCGGGTCCATCTCTCGTTCTCTGTGTCAGTAACCAGTGCGCCGACAGGGTCGCGACCCCGCCGATTGCGGCCGCTGAAGTCACACTGAAATGACGGTAAAATGACGTGACCCTTCCTGTCGGAACGTCAGAGCGGAAACATCCCACGTTATCACAGCCACAATAAGATGACTAAGTTAAGGGATATTTCCCTTAAAAGTACTTCTTTTTCTGGCCCTTTTTAAATGATCAAGTTGCATTAAATAAATAGATGGAATATCTTATTGATGCAGTTTCCTTGGAGAAGGCAAACAGACGCTTGTGGCTAAATGTGAATTACATCTTAGTAGTTATTAGTCTGAATACTTAATCTAACTTCTCTACTCTGCGTCTTGCTCTCAAAACCAAACCAACTGGTTCTTACTAAACTGTAAATCTCAAAAAAAATCACCAGTTCTCGTTTCTATTGTAGTGAAGAATCATGTCACCCGGGGATCACCGACGCCTTTCGCTGCTTCTTGGAATAAAACAGAGCTGCACAGTTCAGAGGAATCCGTTATATCAGACTGTGGTTACGAAGCCAATTAGTAGAATCAATGAATTACTACTGACAGCCGTGTTCTTGCGTCAGAATTTTGAAATCCAAGTGTTTTTCCTTACTCTGGATAGATCTCCAACCTCCAGGTAGAAACAGATGATGAAAACGTTCCAGGTCATCCACACGACCAGCCAGGCTGCGTACTGCAGGGGGGGGAGAGAGAGAGTGAGAGGCAGACCAGACCTGACAGCTCTTTGTTTTAGATTAAAAACGAATGGTCGTGTCTTGCGTTCTGCGGCGAGCCGGAGGCGGAGGCTCCACCTTCGGCGATGATAAGACGCGAGAAACAAAAAACAACGGCGAGCGGTGCGACAAATCAACCCGAATCGAAGCGGACAGAGAAGGAAAATGTGTTTGTTACAAGGCTGCGTGTGCGGTGTGTGTTACTATAGAAACAAACAAAGTTATTCCTACACACACTCCGCACCACTGCTCTCACATTTATTTCCACCATGTAATCAATATGTCATCAAACTGGCATTGGCATATATATATATATATATATATATATATATATATATATATATATATATGTGGTATACGTACCCCGGTGACATATCTGGGCCTGAACTGAATGGTGCCGAACAGGCCGAGGATGACGACGATGATGTGCAGGAAGTTGGTGAGGAGCGGCGCCCACTGGTATCCCAGGAAGTCTACGACCTGCCGCTCCAACACGCTGACCTGGGAGGAGGCAGAGGAGGAGGTTAGAGGCGACAAAACGCCGGAGCCACGGCGCTCACATGCTTACGGTGCGACGCCGGAACCTTTGCTGCGTGTCGCACCCCCCCGTCCCTTCCCCCGTCTGTCCGCCCGTCCTCCCGTCTGACCGTCAGCGACGTAACAGCACCGTAAATGACATTTATACAACCACAATAAAAGCGTCTTCTCTTTGGGGGGAAATTTGACCGCTGGGATTTATTTGAAAACCACAGCAGAAGCTTTAAATCTAAGTCATTCCTAACACCAGCTATCTTTTTATTACTGTCAGGCCTTAAGGGCTGTGTGTGTGTGTGTGTGTGTGTGTGTGTGTCTGCGCCGCAGCTTTATTACCATTCAGTCACTGGAGCCTCATGCTGAGATAGTTAATGAAGGCAGCACAGCGTATGATACGGTATTGCTAAATACATTAACACACACACACAAGAGTCACGAGCGGGAGGAAAAAGCGTGAGACGGAGAAGGTGGTGCATTAAGGAGAAAGAAAGCTCATTATGAGCTTCATTTAGCCCCAAACAACAGTGATATTTACAGTCCTGCACCATGAACTCAGCGTATTTGAGCATCAAAAGCTCACATATCAAATGTGGGGTTTGTTTTTGTCTTATTTCCCCTCCTCCTCCCACAATACACACACACACACACACACACACACACACACACACACACACTTCTGGTTGGCCGAGTTTAGGGAGCGCTGATGTGAGACCATATGGCAACACCACAGTCGCTCACAGCCAAATAGCAGGTACACACACCCACAGACGCACACACAGCCACAGCAACCTCCGGTAAACTACACCCACTCAACAGCAGCTCTAAAAAGGAGAATAATAATTGAATGTGAAAGGTACAAGAGGACTGAGGTATCTGTGTGTGTGTGTGTGTGTGTGTGTTTGCATGTCAGGGCAGGTCTGCTCTGCTTGCACTTGACAGCACCTGCTGTTATTGGACACACGAGGCTCAGTGGCACCACAGTGTGTGTGTGTGTGTGTGTGTGTGTCTCTTTGTGCCTTTATGTGCGGTTCAGGCTCCATCTCTCCGCCTCTCTGCATCTTTGTGCATCGGCTCCGTTTTATTATGCAAACGTGTGTCGTGTCGTCCCATTGACGATTGTGTAGCGCGGCGATTGTGCCTCTCACACACACACACACACACACACACACACATGAAGAGGGCATTATAAGAAGTCAGGGGCCTCCCAGTCCATTATTGAGGCCCCCCCAGGGGCCCCTCTTTCACCACCAATAACATAAACAGGCCTTAACTCCAGCTGGGACGCGCGCACACACCCTCCTCCAAGAACACACAATAAATGACACACAAACACAAGTGGCCCAGAGAATAATTGTTGGGCAGCATCGTTATTGATTCTTCCTTCTATGAACACGCGCGTCTTTTATGGTCAAAAAAACAAACCACTCTTTTCTCTTTTTGTTGTGACCCGAGTGAAACCGCAGCATCTGTTCGCTCCCTTCATGTGAGATCCTCATTACGCGGCGCGGCGGCACAACAAGCGACTCCGCGCGCCGCTCCTTGTAATTAAGTCGCCCAGTTCTCCTGACAGACGAATAAGACTCCGCCTCCCTCCGCCGCCGCGCTCCCAGCATCCCTTGCGTGTGTCAAAACGACAGAAGCCTCCCAGCCGCGGCCTTGACAACAACCGCGACCCCCGGGGAGGGGGAGAGGAGGGGAGAGGGGGGAGGAGGGGGAGCGCTGCTGCTGCAGACTAGCGGCGGCTACGCTAAGCAGGTGCGTCGGTCTTTGTGACACGTGCAGCAGCCGATGAAAGCTGCGGCGCCCGCAGAGGCGGAGCTTTGAGCCGGGGGTGGGCCGGGGGGCCCCCTCTCGGGGATCCGCGGCGGCGGTCTTCGATGAGGCCTCGGGGGCGCGTCCCCGCTTGTTTGTCCACCTGTGGACGCAGCGCACGAGTCGCCATCCGGATCCCGCAGAGAGAATCATCGCCCTGAAGACGTTTGTCCTTCCGCTGCTGAATATGACGTCAGCTGTGAACAATGCGCCAGTGAATCGTCGTTTTGAAGACGCCGCGCCGTCTAAAGTACGTCAGGGAGCGAGGACGTTTATTCCACCCACTGTTTGGTTAGCAAAGCGCTCTGGTTAGCATGAGTTCCCCAAGCGCAGCGGTTTGCAGCCCGACTGCGTCTCCGTCCTGTTGTCTACAATCGCTCACAAATCACAAATCATTCACTTGTTCTCAAGTGACAGTGAAAAAGATGCACAGAGGCCTCGGGTGGACAGCGAGAGCAGACGGGCGGGAGGACGGCGGTGAGTGACGGGAGGGGAGAAAGCGTCTCGGGGTTGGTAATAAGTTGGGTCTATTTGATAATGACTGATCGAACGATATTAAAGAGTCATTATTGCTCCAGACGGCTGCGCTGCGTGGCCATTGTGAGGGATTTAGTGTCCTTTATCTTAGGAGGGGAGAGAGGGAATGAGAGGCAGTGGGCGAGAGAGTCACCCGCTCGTCATCCCTCATCTCCTTCCTCCTTACCTTCCTCCCTCCTTACCTTCCTTCCTCGTCCCTCTCTGATAATCTTTTCATTTCCTTCCTCGTTCCCGTTCTCCTCATCAACCTCTGCTCGCTTTCCTCTCCTACATATTTAATATGCCTTCATCTTTTCCCAGACCTGTTTCGTCATAGAACAGTAAATTGCCTCACCCTCCCCCTCCCCCACCCTCCCTCCCTCCCCCCCGCCTCATCACTCCATCTCTTTCCTCCATTACTGCGCTATCACTCCCCATCTCGCCCTCCACCTTCTTCTTCTCATGTTTACATTCTCCACCTTCCGCCCTCTCCTCATGCAGAGCATCTCTACGCCCCCCTCCCCCCTCTCCCCCCCGCCCCGCTAGCCTCCCATCCCTCCCTCTCCTCTGCCGTCTCATCCTTCGCTCCCTCGTTCCCGCGGCGCTTTTTTGGGCTGAGAGTTTTCGCTTGGTTCCGTGACCTTTAAAATACTGCTGATCAAATTCTGCGGCTCATCCCATTATATTCGACAAGGGGAGGGGGGGGGGGGGTCCCTGGGGGGGAGGTAGAGGAGGTCAGACGGTTGGATGGGATGGATAGCGAGAAGGAGGAGAAAAAGAAAAAGGAGACGAAGGAGAAGAAGCAGGGATGGAGCGGAGAAGGTCCAACCAACCGTAAGCAAATAATCAGAAACAGCACAAATATACGGATTTCTTTTTCCTCTCGCCATTCCAGAAACATTTTTCTTTCACCTCGTGAACTTTATTCTCTCTAAAATAAACCTCCAAAGCGATCTTGTTTTACTGTTAACTTAATTAAGGCCGCGGGCCCGCGCGCCGTATCCCGCTGTGTACAGAAAGAAGCAATCTCCCATCGATTCCAATCGTGCAACGATCAATTCATCTCCATTGGAGGCTATTAGGGACCATTTGTGGCTACTTAGGGCTCAGAGAGAGAGAGAGAGAGAGGAGAAGACGGGCGGCGCAAAGTGAGAGGCGGGTAAATGGATAAAAGGATGAACAGGAAAGACAGTAAAGGGAGAGCGAGAGCAAATGGAGGAGAAAGAGAGGAGGGCGGACATGGAAAAACACGAAGATGATCACAGGTGAAAAGCTTTCCATTAAATATCCAATTTCCCTACTCAGGCTCACGCGTTGTCATCACAGCTGTTCAATCACATCTGTAATAGCCGCAAAGCCCGGAGTCACTCGGTGCAGAGGAAGAGGGGCTGGTGGTGCTGGTGGTGCTGTGCTGGTGGTGCTGGGGGGCTGGTGCTGGTGTGCTGGTGTGCGGGGGCCGGTGGTGCTGGTGGTGGTGGGGCTGGTTGGTCTGGTGGGGCTGGTGGGGCTGCTGGTGGTGCTGGTGGTGGTGGTGGGGCTGGTGGTGGTGGGGCTGGTGTGGTGGTGGGCTGGTGGTGCTGGTGGTGGTGGTGTTGCTGGTGGTGGTGGTGTGGGGTGGGCTGGTGGTGCTGGTGGTGGTGGTGGGCTGGTGGTGATGTGCTGGTGGTGCTGTGGTGGTGGTGCTGGGCTGGTGCTGGTGGGGCTGGTGGTGGTGGTGCTGGTGGTGGTGGGGCTGGTGCTGGTGGGGCTGGTGGTGGTGGTGGGGCTGGTGGTGGTGGTGGGGCTGGTGCTGGTGGGCTGGTGCTGGTGGTGCTGGTGGTGGTGGGGCTGGTGGTGGTGCTGGTGGGGCTGTGGTGTGGTGCTGGTGGTGGTGGGGCTGGTGGTGGTGGGGTGCTGGTGGTGGTGGTGGTGGTGGTGGGCTGGTGTGGTGGTGGTGCTGGTGGTGGTGGTGCTGGTGGGCTGGTGGTGGTGGGGCTGGTGGTGTGGTGGGCTGGTGCTGGTGGGGCTGGTGGTGGGGTGGTGCTGTGGTGGTGGGGCTGGTGGTGGTGGGGTGCTGGTGGGGCTGGTGGTGGTGGTGCTGGTGGGGGCTGGTGGTGGTGGTGTGCTGGTGGTGGTGGTGGTGCTGTTGGTGGTGCTGGTGGTGCTGTGGTGGTGGGGCTGGTGGTGGGGCTGGTGGTGGTGGTGGGGCTGGTGCTGGTGGTGGTGGTGGTGGTGCTGGTGGTGGTGGTGGTGGTGCGGTGGGCGGGGTGGTGGTGTGTGTGGCTGGTGGTGGTGGTGGTGGTGGTGGTGCTGGTGGTGGTGGGGCTGGTGGTGGTGGGGCTGGTGGTGGTGTGGGCTGTGCTGGTGGGGCTGGTGGTGGGTGGTGGTGGTGGTGGTTGTGGTGGTGGGCTGGTGGTGGTGGTGGGGCTGGTGGTGGTGGGGCTGGTGGTGGTGGGGCTGGTGGTGGGGGTGTGGTGGGGCTGGTGCGGGTGGGGGCTGGTGGTGGTGGTGCTGGTGGTGGTGCTGGTGGTGGTGGGTGTGGGGCTGGTGGTGTGGTGGTGCTGGTGGTGCTGGTGGTGGTGGGCTGGTGGTGGTGGTGGTGGTGCTGGTGGTGGTGGGGCTGGTGGTGGTGGGCTGTTGGTGGTGTGGGCTGGTGTGGT